GGTACGGCTAGGAAATACTGGGCATGATCCATTGCTGTTTACAAATACTGAGCCGAAGAATGTGTTAAAGATGTTGGCTTTAATGGTGTCGTCGTTGCAGTCTTTACCATCAGGTCCTATCAAGGGAGGGATGGACCTTGAGTCTTTTAGTTTGTTGTTTACAAAATTGTAAAAAGCTCGGGTGGAATTGGTGCTTAGAAGGTTTTCCTCTTGTTTAATGTGATAATTGGTGCATTCAGTCTTTATCTGGTGGCATAAATTTTTGTATCGGTTTTTGAAATTGGCAACGTGACCAGATTTGTTTTTCCGCCAGAGTGATCTCTTTTTGGAATGAAGTTTCCTTATTGATATGGGTAATCTGCTTTTTTGTTTTGTTTTGGGAGTTGTTGTTGGAACATATAGTTTGATGACTCTTTTGACTTCAAGTAAAAATATGTTGTAATGGTCTTCAACGGTATTGCATCCAGTGAATAGAGATTGCCAATCAAGGGATGAGAGATCGTTGTCTATAAGATCATAGTTGCCTTTTTTGAAGTTACAATAGGGGATTACATCATTGTGGTGATTTTTGTGTGGATGTATGTTGAGACAAAAGTCAATCATATTGTGGTCACTACTGGAAAAGGGTTCTTTAGTTTGTATTCCGTAAATTAGGTTCAAACTGTTGCAGAAGATGAGATCGAGGCAGTTGTTTAGTCTAGTGTTGTTGATTACTAGTTGTTCCAGTCCCAGATTTGTAATAGCATTGTAGAAGGTTGTGTGTATGATTTCAGTTGTACAATCATTTAGGGTCCAGTCAATATGAGGTAGATTGAAATCACCAAGAAAGATAAAAGGGTATGGGCAGGATGCAGCCCATGTTAGTAATGTATTTAGCTTGTTTACATGTTCGATGTCATAATCAGGTGCTCTGTAACATAGTAAGAATCGAATTGTGATATTTAAGGATAGTTCACAGATGATGGTCTCAGGAAGAGCAAGCTCCTGGGTAACTTGGATATTTTTTAGATGTAAGGATTTTTTATAGAATATAGCAACACCACCTCCTCGACGATTTTCACGATCTGATCGGTAAACATGATAGTCTCTTACTGTGGTAATGGAGTCGGGGAGAGATGCATTGAGCCATGTTTCACAGACAAATATAATGTCGAAGTTAGCCATATTTAGGAGGAAGAGAAATTCAGGTATTTTATTCACGAGGCTTCTTGCATTGAGTAGTTTGCATTTAAGGCCGGCAGTAGTTGGAATTGAGGTAGTTGGGGGTGTGCGTGCCTAGTCTTGGGTGATGGTGGATGGGTTGAGGTAGGGTTGTGGTTGAGGGTAAAAACTGAGTATTGGGTTGCGTGGCTTACTTTTGATACAGTCAGCATGGTAGTCAATGTACAGGTCCTTCTCTCCATTGTCTAGACGGTTTTTGAGTTCGATGCGGAGTACACGGGAGCGGGCACGTTGCTGTATGGTTAGGTCAGGGCGTCAACGGAGGTTCTTATGGTTGGTGTTGGTTTTGGCGAGTGAGTTTATAGTATAAATGAATTTACGTTTGCTTGATTCATTTTTGCAAATGACCCTGCACAAGCGTGGGGCCACAGAGCCGTCTCTATTTTTGAGCTCTCGGTCGATGCGGGAAATGTCAAGTATTTCATGTTAAATAAGTTTTTTTAAGAAGGCCCAATCCTTAGGGGATAAACATATTTTGTATTATTTTAGCTTTACCACTCATTTGGATGATCTCAGAGAATTTAGGTTTTTAAAAAATATATTTTTATTTAATTTGGAAATCTTGGTAGTACAAAGTCTAAGTATAGGTATCTTCTTGCTACTTCCCAAGTTGTCATATTAAGCTACTGATCATGAATCTTTGAGCTTGGTGTGTCAAAAATTCAGAAAATGTCTCACTTGACACTGTTGGCATGTCATTCCCCTTACCCCCCCGCAAATAAAAGAGAAACAATTCTTTATATATTTGTTTATTTTAAAAAATACAGTCCAATCATGTGTTTAATCCCCATAAAAAGATGTATTGATAAAATTTTCATGATGGGGCAGGATGTTTATTCTTTTCTTAATTAACAAAAGGATTACAAAAGCCATACAGTAATTTTCACTATATAATCTTCCCTTCATAGTCTATTACTTCTCTGGTTTCCCATATCAACTAAATATTCAAAAAAGATCTCATGAGAAAACTTTTTAAATAAAGGATCTTGTTTTCCAAATCAGGAAGTATGGGGGGAAATGTAGTAAGAACATTGCTAAAAGAATCAAAATGGCAGCTTAGGCTTTGCTCTCATAGTTATGACTGCCCCCTTGATTGTTTTAATCTTTCCAGAGAATGCAACTCCAGTGGATGCTCCTGCTCCAGACACACACAGAAATATTAATGCTCCCTCTTTTCCCCAAAATAAGTCCCAGCATGTTTTATGTGCACACCTAATATAAGCCCTACCCCCAAAATAAGCTCTACTTATCGGCTAGCAGCCCATTCCGTCTGGTTGCTTATGGTACCGTGGCCATGAGGCTAGGTGGGGGGTGGGGTGGAGCTGCCCCATGCACCCTGCACCGGCTTACCTCAGGGCCCTCACTCCATGCCTCGACCCCTGCCTCATGGCAGCAGCACCAACAGCCATGTGCAGCAGGAGCCCATGTGGTCTGCTTCTTCATGGCCACAACAGAGCAGGAGGCTAAACAGGGTGCTGGTGCTGCAGCCATGAGGTGAGGCAGGTGTCAGGGCGTGGATGGTCTGGCTGCGGGGACCCTGAGGTAATCCGGTCCGGGACGCATGGGGCGCTCCACCTTCCTGCCTCATCTTGTGGCACCAGCATGTCGTTCAACTTCCTGCTCCATTCTATCCATGAGCAAACAGAAGAAGTGGGGGGGAAAAGACATCCCACCGAAAATAAGTCCTAGTGCTTATTTTGGGGCCCAAAGAAAATAAGACCCTGTCTTATTTTCGGGAAAACATGGAGGAAAGATGGCATCCTCCTTTACCTCACACAAAATAGGACACAGAGAAGAATTCTGAGCCTGTGTAAAAATGAGATAGAAAAAGAGAAACCTCTTTTGTGGGGAAGAAAACTTTCAGGAATCTAGAGAGCAGATTTTAGCAACATATTTATATTTTGCCTTATCTGAGGTAGCCCAGGTGGTGGCTTCAGTGCAGTGATGATATGATTTGCTTTATCAAAGTGCTTTGCGTCTTTCTCAGGGGTGTCTTCTGCTCCTTGTAGGGGAGATGCTTTACTTTCTTCTTTAGAATCTGGGAGCAACATTGCTCTTGAAGCCTCTTCAAAGTGCTTTGCCTGAAACATCACAACCTTGCTCATTTTAGCCCCTGGGCAAATGCAAGACAAGGGCTGTGGCTAATGTCTCGAGACAAGCAGGAATATTAGAAAACAGAGCACAGATAAAAAGGCATTCAACATACTGGGAAATGCAAAGGAAGTTAAGCCAATGTGACTGAACAAAGCAGCAGGTAGAAGTGGGCTATGGGTGAATGATCTAAGTATGAAGATTTGTGACTCTCTGATTCCATCCATCCACATGACAGGATTTATGTTTGTCTTGGACCAACAGAGTTTTCAGATTGGCACACCTTCCCACAGTCTAAGAAACTCCTTTTTGCCAAGGAGTAGATTGTACCAATTGAGTTTTCAAGGGGGCTGATCCATGTTAGCCAAGATAGGGCTGAGAAGATTTGCAGAGGAACAGGCCCATCTGAGCTAGAATTCCATGTTAGCTAGCAAATACATTGATCTGATAAGTCATTTTCTAAAGCTGTATTTTTAATAATATAATTTTTATTAAAGCTTTTAAAAAGGTAAAAACTAATACAAAATAATGTAAATTATTGTTTTTGCATTATAAAGTGAAAAAGAAAAAAAAGAAAGCAAAGAGAGAACCAAAAAGTGCAAGAAAAAAAGAAAAAACTGTAGAAAAATACAAAAAGAAGAAAAAAAATACAAAGCAGGGGTTTCTGATATTCTTCACAATAATTATAAGCACAATTATACTTCAACTTGTGATTTCAAAGTTACATCACTGTAACTTTGATTATAGGACGAATGGGGCTGTTTCCAGGTTATTTTGTCAGGTTAATGGACTAAATCCTCTAGGGCAGGGGTCTTCAAACTTGACAGCTTTAAGACTTGTGGACTTCATTAATCTTCTTGTTGGTTTATAACTATTATTCAATTAATGATATATTCAGATTAATAGAGTATTGTGAGTTATTTAGTGATTAAGGTGTGATAGCAAATGAAAATGCGATAAATATCAGTTAGTACTGACTATTAGGACTTATCAAATTCGATCACAATGTAAAGAAGAATGTGTTATTTACATACTATTGTTTTTGTATTTTTAAATTTGTATGTTTTTAATTCTTGTAAATAAAGTTTATTGGGGAAAAAAAAAGACTTGTGGACTTCAACTCCCAAAATTCCTCCTCCAGTCATGTTAGCTCAGGAATTCTGGGAATTGAAGTCCACAAGTCTTAAACTTGCCAAGTTTGAAGACCCTTGCTCTAGGACAGGAGTGTCAAACTGAATTTCTTCAAGGGTGGATCAGTACTGTAGTGCTCCATAGGCTGGGGAAGCGGACATGGGATGTATGCCTCCTGCAGTACTTTGCTGGCCAAAATGGGGCATGGCTCTCCTGTGCCCCAATTTGGTCAGCAGAATGCTGCAGGAAGCCATCCAGGCCTAAAACAGAGCACCCACACACACACAGTCCCCCCCTTTCCCCATTTTGGCTACCTTCGCTATTTCCAGGCCGGTCCCACAGGCCAGATTTAAGCACTCCACGGGCCAGATCTGGCCCATCGCCCTTGAATTTGACACCCCTGCTCTAGGACTATGACTAATGGAAGATCTCCAAACCTAAACTTGCTTTGGGACCATCAATTCCTCATGTATTGTGAGAAGCCTCTTAATCCAGATGTTTTGTGAATCCTTTTCATGTATTCCAGTTGCGGTGGATGGTAATTGGAATTGCTGGGGTTCATGGAGTCCCTGTGATGGTTCCCATAAGAGGCGGAGAAGCCGCACCTGTAACAACCCCTCCCTTCAGAATGGAGGGAAGCCATGTGAAGGAGAACCAGAGGAACAGGAAGCATGCTATTTTTCCATATTTGTGGACAGGTAACACTATAATAGCCACAGGGTTTTAGAAAAAGGCTGTTGCTCTTTCTTTGCACATGCAATATCTTGGATTTAATCCTTCACAATTTCAGATAAATCTGAGAAAAGATCTGTACTTAGTCAGTGCCAGCCAGTTTTTTTGCTTCACTGGGGAAAACAATTAAAGGAAGCTAAAAGGAAAAGCCATAGAAAGCTACATCTATGAATTCAATTCCCATTCTCATTACAAGCTCAAAGCAAAAAGCTTTGTAGCAAGTCCAGAAATCTTTGATGAGCTTCCAAGCCAGACTAGTCAGCCTGTTACCCTCCACTGATCACAGGAATCTACAATTTTTCATTATAGACATACTGGTTAGGACTTATGGGAGTGCAGTTCATATGGAAAGTATGTATTGCTTCTTCCTACTTTGAGCACTTTTGAAGAAGATATCTTGGCACATATTAATTGTATGGCACGACTGAGACTTTTGAGCACTTTTTGTTCCTTTTATTGATTTATTTGTTCTTTCATCTCCATCTTCTGAGACAGAACAGCCAGGATAATGATGTAAAAAGACTACTTTCGGTTCACTGTGAAGATCCTGTGATATGCAGAATTTCTTGATAACCATCTTAGATCCCGAATTGTCTCCCAGCAGAATTCATTGCTACTTTGTCCAAAGTATCATGCAGTTCAAAATGAACTCAAATTGTTCAAGAGATCCTGTGGCTGATTTTGAAAGACCCCACATAAGTACAGAGAGTGCTAATTTAAGAGCAATTATTCACAGCAATCTACTATGGTTGCCTTTTTTTTTTCTGGTCAGGAGTTCTGGGACAAGTATGTGGGGGCTATATTGTGGAAGCATAAAAGGCTGAGTGTGCTACTTTCTGAGCCTTTTGTCCTCTTCTTTCTCTAATTTCTCCACTCTTTCCCCATTGTCATTTCGCACTATACTTTGTACCGAAACAGCAGTTCATGCTGAAGTGATGCCGGCATGGTAGGTCCAAATATTTCCTCCACCCTCTGTTTTAGGTTGGCCTTTAATTCCACTTCTCACAACATCAATATAAGCTATAGCTTTGGTTTTAATTGGCACAGAACTATTCAGCATTCCAGGCAGAATTAGGGGATTCTTCCTACATTGGAGACCCAGCTATGCAAGCCATACTGAAAGCCAAATCTGGCTCTAGGTTCTGCCTCAGTTCACCTTCCCAATAAGCAACTGAGTCAGAAGATCATTTAAAAGCAGTTTATTGGGGTACCCTGATAAAGTGGGGTCTCTGTGTAAAAGGGAGAGAGAACTTGGAGCTCCATGTTTCTCTCCTTTTTATAGTTAATATAAAAAGTTTAAGAAAATGCAAGAGAAAAGTTGATTGGACAGAATAAAAGTAACCTCCCCTTTGCATAGGAAATCAGTTACATACAGTCAAATGGGTTACATATTTGTAAACCCATGTTCATTAAAATGAGGTCTGATGTCAGAAGGGGTGTAATTGTAAGGGAAAGGGTTGTTTAGAGTTCACACACAAGAGATAAACCAAACCTCAGGCTGTACTAATAAACTTTTCTTATCTGGAGCTAGTCTCCAGCTTCTTTATCAGTTTAGGAATGTTAAAAGCTAATAAACCTGAACATCATTTTAAAAGAGAGAAAATAAATCAAATTAAAATACAAGGTAACAAATTAGTTAGTTAAACACATTTGTTAGTTAATAATTGTTAGTTAACAAATAACAAAACCCATGCCATTTGCCCCTCAATACAGACAACTCAGTACTCCTTAAACACCCCTCTGCCTTAAAATGTGGCACAATTCTGCGTCCAACAGCAGTGCTGAAGCCAAACTGGGTGTAGAATGGAAGCCACCCTGTCTTTGGCTTCAGGCAAGGCCTGGTATGGTTACCTATGGTAAACTGGTCTCAATACCTTAGTAGAAAACTAATAACTAAACATGGGTCTTCACATGTTCCTACCATAAACTATGGTTTCTCCCTATCCACCAGAATCTGAAAAGATGGCTGTTTAGTGATGTCTCATTCCATTGGGGTTTTCCCCCCCTTTTAGGGGAGCTGTATGTGTAAATGATGACGAAGCAACAAGGGAGGGGGACATTGCAGTTGTGGGACCTGAATCCGGATGCCTTAAACCAGATCCACCAGAACATGGATTTATCAGGGTAGGTGTTTTAGAACTCCTCAGCCAGCAACATCTGTGAAAGGCAAATGTGTTAAAAGCAGCAAACTGTGATGCAAACTCATCCCTTTTGAGCATTCATGCAATGTCAGTACATCTACAGAAAGGGTATCTTGTGAGACATGATTTTCCATCCACCATCTTGCTGATTTTAATATTCTCAGTTTTTGTTTTCTTATGTTTCTTGGACATAGATACATATTAAAAAGCAAAGGATTAAGCAAATGTTCTAGCAAGGGATTAAGTCTTAAACACATTCCCTAGATGAACTGGTGTGCAATCAAGAGACCTTTCTGGATTCATGAAAAGAATTATGTCAATGTCATGACAAAGTATTTTATTGTTATATCAAGGAGCACCTTTGCACAAATACATCCTGCACTGTTCCTAGATTAGAAGGGCCTGTTCATAGTCCTGTATGCATTAGTAGTTTCCCAATAGAACTATTCCAATACACTATATATAGGCTACCTTTGAAGACCATTTGGAAGCTTCAACTGGTCCACAACGCAGTGGCACATGCAGTATTGGATGCACCACAGGACAGCTATGTAACAACCTTGATACATGAGCTGTACTGACTCCCAATGGGCTTCATGGTGCAATTCAAGATGCAAGCTTTAAATGGCATAGGATCAGTGGTGGGGTTGCCTATTTCCAGTGGACTCTGTCCACCCCACCCGAACTAACAGGGTGAACATTCTCCAAGTCTTCTTGGTAAATTAGTGTCAACTGGTAGGTCCTAGAAATCATATATTATGGAACATTTATATGGCCTGACTGTTGGCTTTCCAGAAGGCTATGAAGATCCAAGCATTAGGACCAGTATAGAGTATATTAATGGAACCCAGTTGTGTTCCATTTTGTTATTGTTATTGGCAACAAAATATTTATGACCTTGACATGATTTTTCTTCATTGATTTCATTGTGTATTAAGTTTGATATTATGTTTACCACCCAAGTTTCATTGGCTAGATAGAAATCCATATAAATTTGTTAAATGAATGAAATTAATTCCTAAATAGAATTAATTCCTAACTCATGTTTAAGCCAGTATATCTTTCAGAGCCAGGCATTTGATATAAAATGGCCTTGCTGAAGTCCCTAGTAGCTATGATGCTATAACTGGGTTTACTTCACTGCCATTTTTGCTGTTTTAAGGAAAAGTACAAAATAATATTAAGATTCATTGTAACTAAAGTAATTATTTATTAAGCAACTAAGGTCAGAGAGACCCTGTTTCAAATCCAAATTCAGCCACAAAGCTCAGTGGGCTAGCCTTAGTCCAGCTATTCATTCTTGCAGTCTTACTGAATTTGAGAGTTGTTATGGAGATAAAACAATGCAAAAAAAACCAACAACCCCTACAGATTTTTATAATTCTGTGAGAACTTCTGCTAATAGGTAGAATAAAGTTTGCCTAAATAGTTCCGAATGGATGAACCGCTCAAAGAAAGTTTCGTGAAACACTTGGATGTTTCTGTTAAGGTCTTGGGTTTTAAGAGCCGACCAGCAGTGAAGCTGATGTAATATAGGCTGATGCAATAAGAATGAATCAGCATAGCATGGGTATTTCCCTTTAAGACTGGGGATTAAAGATCCCTTTAAGAGGTGTTTATATATTGCAGCCATTAGTGGCTGTGTTTTCTCTGGTGTCCAGTATTCATTGCAGAGTTCTCCTTGTTAGAGTTAAGAAGTTTGCTTGCTTGTAAAGGTATTTTGCTTACCACATTTATTTCTGTATATAACTATTGTACTGTAGATAAACCACTGTTAAATGTCTAAGCCTCTGTGTGCTGTGTTTTGCTCCTGGGTTGTCTCACTATAGCAGTCATGCTGCAAACACTGACAGTTTCTTCCTGAATATCAGGTGTTGTTTTTCATTTCATAACAAGTATTTTTGGTCAGCATATGAAGAGTTTCCTCTGGTTAATTTCAGAATGAGAAGAACCATTACGACGTTGGGGAAAATGCTGAAATTGTCTGCTTCAGTGGATACACTCTTTCTGGATATCCATTCTTTCGCTGCCAGCCTGATCAAACTTGGTTGCAACGTCCTGTCGAATGCCAATGTAAGAACCATTAAGAGATTTAAGCTACTAATAAGAGAAAAGTAAATAAGAAGACAATATATCAGCCCCATTCACCTGATGTGCATTCAGCTATTGTGATCACAAATCATAGCAGTGAATCCCAAGAAGGTTGGCTGAGGGGACAGTGGGCCCTGTCTTTGGTATAGAAACATCCAATAGAAGTTCTCTGTGTATGAAGTCTTGCTTAGCCCAAGATCTAATTTCATGTGAAGGTATTCTACATGAGGTTATGGACATGTATCCAGAGCATTTGCATCATGGCTAAGATAGCAACCAGTGTGAGCAAATCAGCATGCCCACTTTATGTGTTATGACTGAGGAGAGGCACATAAGGTTAGGTGCAAAATGCTGAAGCTGAGGTGAGTACAGAAAGTCCAGATTTTAGAGAAGTTGGCCACTCTTGAAGTAGAACTGTGGAAAGGGATGGGGAAAGTTGCCTTGAAGTCTTAGCACATCATTGGTACTAATTTTCAACAGTGTTATCATAGACAGATCAGTGATTTGATTTAGTATGTCCCTTAGAAGGGGCTATAGTTCAAAGATCTGCTTTGTGTGCAGGAAGTCCAAATTTAATCCTGGCATCTCCAGATAAAGCTGAGAAGGATTATAGTTTTATCCCATGAGAGTTGTCACCAGTCAAGGTCAATAGGTGGACTAACATATTGACTTTGGTACACAGCTTCTTATGTTCCTAATTTTATGAACAGAACTTCTATTACTAAGAGAGCCAAATATACAAAGGATGTTGTGTTAAATGTGTTGTTGCAAACAGTACATCTCTCCTTGAAATATTTAAGCCTTGTTACATCTGCTTCGGTGGCTTTCCTTGGTAATTTCTGCATATAAGCAATAGGTCACTTTGTTTCCCCTGGAATCCTAGCAGAAATGTTATCTGTGTAGGTACATGGATATAATGATGAACTGAGAGCTGCATTGAGCAGCCTTTGAGAGAACATGGTTGCTTCTACATTTCTGCTTTAAGGAAAGGCCTGGTTGCCTTCTTGCATTACCTTAATTCCTAATAGGGAAGGCAAGGGTATGCTCTTTCAATAGCTCTATCCAGGGTTTCTCAACTTTGGCAACTTTAAGATATGTAAACTTCAACTCCCAGAATTTCCCAGTTTGCCATGCTGACTGGGGAATTCTGGGAGTTGAAATGCACATTTCTTCAGGTTGTCAGGGTTGTAAAACACTAGCTTAATCCAAAACTAGCCAACCACTTCATAGTCCAGTCCTTGTGATTAGTTCATGGTTCCGTTCAAACCGAGAAAATTGGTTTAACTGGATAATCTCAGTTAAACTAACAATGAGTAAATGTACTGTGTGAATATAACCAGTGAATTAGTGTTTCAGTTTTCAGATTGGATTTTTAAATTGTTGCTTGTTTATATTTTTTGGTATAAAGCCATTAAAAGTATTTGAACTCTGTATTTAATTTGCAACTCTTCTGTCATAGCATGGTAATCTCATTTAACTCCCTCTCTTCCTTTTTTTCCCCTCAGTATCTGCATGTCACAGACCAGCAGCCTCAGATGTTGTCTCCATTTTCCCCTTTAAAAATGAATATAACGTTGGGGAAACAATCCGCCTGAGTTGTGCACCAACCTTTAGGTTAACTGGCCGTTCAGAGTACACCTGTGTAAGTGGCCCATCCTGGTATCCTGCTGTAGTGAGACTGCTTACCTGTGAGAAAGGTAAGTGAATCGTTCATGTAGCAGAGAGATTCACCTGCTCACTGTGCGGTTTGGAGCAATGGGCTCAAATTCTCACTCAGCCATGTTGTTTAATGTGGTCTTCCTTTCAGGACTGTTGAATGAGGATATCATGAAAGGGGTATGTGTGATGTTACATATGAATGCCTTGAAGGGAAAATGGGATTAAAACACAAGAAGAAAGGAAAAATGATGAAACTGAATGCTCTCAAATAAAACAAAATGAAGAAGCACCAAAGTCTAGGAGGGCTTGACTGTTAATAGTTATATCATAAACAGTAAAGATGCTCCACATCAGATAGATCAACATGAAGATACATCCAAGGTGTTTTCTTGTCAACAGTACAAAACATTGTCTTATTCCAGGCTTTTTAAAAAAATTTTTTCCAAATCCAGTCTATATCCTTGGCATATCTGGGTGATCTACCAAAAAAATATGAGTCAGCTCCAACCATACTTGAGTTTCAAGATATCCAAAATCACTTCAGTGATATCGCCTGTTGTGATTTATTTTTACTGTTAGATACATACACACCTGCATAGTCAGGAAAGCAACAAATCTGAACTGTCAGAACTGTGTGTAGAATCCATTCTCCAAAAAATGATAGCTGTGCCTCTCAGAACTACTTTCAAAATTGCTAATAGTACTGTGTTTCTCATATAATAAGGCCGGGTCTTATTTTTTTTTTGAGCCCTGAAAAAATGGCTAGGCTGTCTTTTGGGGGAATGACTTAATTCCCCCCCTTGCATCTTCGGGCAGGCGGGCAGTGATGGCTTGGATGTTGACCTCGGCATTGCTGGGGCACTTCATATTGGGGTCAACGCAGGCAGCACCATATCCGGGTGTGCAACAAAAGTACTTCCTAACGGCAAGCCCCCCCACCATCCCCCCCCCATTTTGCATGTTTTAATATAGGCCTTAATTTGGGGGGGGAGGGGCTTAATTTCATTTCATGCCTATAAAACATGCTGGGACTTCCTATTGGGGGAGGCCATATTGTTGGAGAAACAGGGTATGTATGTAATATTTTGCTTGACAAGAGGAGAAAATTATTAAATATATAGGAACTATCCAGAGTGAATGAAATGAAGCACTTTGTGTTCGTTAAAAAATTGATATGAAATATCTAAAATTGAATTGACTGTTTCAAGGGAATTTAGGAGAATTCAAAGAATACAAAGTGTGAGAATATTATACAGAGAATGTAAATATGCTTGTTAAGGCTGTGCATGGGTGATAAAAGAGAATAAACTTAGTAATCCATGTAATATATATTTTAAAATGTTAGCATAAAATATAAAGAAATATTGATAAATAAAGCAAAGTGAGTATCCAAAAGAGATTTGAGTGGAATAAACTTCTCTTACAAACTCCTGTGAAACCTGAAAAGATATAGTATAATAGCTGATGTGGCTATTATACACCAAAACATAAATACCTTTAAGAGATTAAAAAAGTAACCAGCATACTTAATAACCCTGAGACATTTCTGACTATCTATACTCAGGAAGGTTCAGATGCTCAGATTATTTTCATTTTACATCCCACCATGCAAAACCTAGCTACTTTGTGGATTATTTCAGGGCTGAAAGGAGAAATTGCTTATATTGATTGATAAATCCTGCTTTGCTGGTCTGAAAATGGGGTGATTAGAGCATTTTGGGGTTCTGCATAAAGGAGAACAGAAGAACTTTCAATTTTAGAGCAATTGTATTTAGCAAATTTAATCTGAAATTCAGGTGTCTATTTTAAATCATGCTTCATTTTTGCTCTGGTCATCCCTACTTTGGGAAATGTCACCCACGGATGCTACTCAAAACTAAATATGCGCTTTGACTCCAAACAACTGAATATTGTAGTTTAACATCTTTATACAGTATATCTAATAGTATTCCAATGCGTTTATGCTTCATTTTTTGGCATTCCTTATCGTCTTGCAGATGGTTATCTACATTCTCAAAGCAACTGTAAACCAGGAGAAAAGCAAGTTGACTCCCAATGTGTATGTATGAACCCCAGAGAAGACTGCAGGTAAATTACACAGAGAAAAGGGTTTCCTCATACCATATCTTGAGATTTGTATCATCTTAAGAAAATGAAGTGCCTACTCCAACCTGTATCCAACTCCAAGATACTTCCCTCAAGTTTTTCTTCTTAATGGATCTTAGCAAAGAGGAAGCTCTTTCTTAGGAGAGAACTTTAACATTAGTATAAAATTATCCGTTTACATCCTGGTGTAGGCTTTCACAGCCAGCATCTGTTGAGCCGTGTTGCGCTTCAAGGGCTTTGTGACCATGATCTAAAAAAACATACTTTCTGACATTTCACCAGCAACATCTTCAGAAACTCACTGGACTCCTGTCTTTATAGCCAGGTGTTCTGATTTCTGATTGGTCAATAATATATTGCTCAGTATCAGACCATTTTGCATCTGAGGATGCCAGCCACAGTTGCCATGGAAACCCCAGGAAATCTGTTCTCTAGACCAAGGTCACTAAATTCTGATGCCCAACCCTGCCCATTATCTACTTGTATCTGTCCCTTTGCTTAGGAAGACTCCACACTCCACACTGGATTTACATGGGCAGAATCCAGATGTTTCATGTATTCCCTTTGATAGGGGTTGATACATTTTTCCCATATGATATGTTCTCAGGCTTCCTCTGTCTGCTCCAAGCTCTCTCATGCCATAATCGCATCCCCTCCTCCCTCCTGAGAGCTTGCATGTTGTTATACAACATCTTGCAAAATGTCAACATGCCCTGATATTTAGTGATACAGCTAGGATTGGAATGTGTATGTGTGTAAATAAAATAGAGAAAGAGAATGGAGTTCACTTGTTCACATGTTATTGGTAACCTATTTTATACCTTTTGTTTTACCACCTTTTTAAAATTTCTTCTCTAAACAGAATTTGGAAGATTCTGTTAATGTCCATCTGATATGAATAATGATAACCACTCCAGATTTATTTATTTATTTTAAAAAATAATAACTTGGCTAACCAGCTCCAGCTAACTTCCTAAACAGATGTTCTGAATGTTATAAACAATAAGGAAAACTGTTACTTTATTCATCGTTTGCTTCATCCCTCTCTTAATGTTATGTTTACTTTGGCTTTGTGTTTTGGTCATTTGGCAGACACTATTCTGAAGATGTCTGTGTCCTAGATGCCACTTCTGAACAAACACTTACAAAGCCCAGCTGTCCATATTTGGCTGAAAAATGCCTGGATCAGCACTCCTTCCATTTCTTGCATTCTGGCCCCTGCCGGAGTGGGACCGATGTGAGTTGGGCTAATGAAAGGCTCAGAATTGCCACAGACAGCATAAAGAGAGAATCTTGTGGCTATGATACATGTTATGACTGGGAGCAGTGCTCAGGTACGCATGGATGCACTAACTTATTGTTCTTGGACCACATTGATGAAGTCAGATTAGTGGCACTTGATATGGTTAGGCACCCATTTCGGCCTCAAAACAATTTCAGGAAGTGGTCTGGTTTGATCTGGCAATGATTTAGAGATGGCCAAATTCAATCCGGGGTCAGATACAGATAGAAATCCAAAGCTTTGACTTCCCATTGACTATGGTCTTTTAATGACTCCATAATCCCTTGCATCAGGGTGGAGTTGGGGAAACTGAATAGAGCTGAGTGTTTACTGGCCAGATGCCCTTCCTGTCATTAATGTGGAGTTTACAGCAGATATATTTTCATTGTGCCCAGAAAGAGAAATATCTGCCTCTACCTAGGATCAAAATCACAGCCCGCTGATTGTGAGTCAAGACCTCCACCTCTAGGCCATCACACCACTCTCCCATTGATTGTGGTGAAATCAAAATATTCCTTCTCTTCTAGCGTATCCCAGTTTCAAGCAAGGATAGAGCTGCAATTTAGCAAGATAAATGAACAAACGCAATAAATAGAATGCAATATTCTACCAGGATACTGAACACAGTTTAAGAGAAGAGAAGGCAAATTTTTACCAAAAGGGGTGGCAAGTTTTAGGGCAAAGGCTGGTTTGAAAGGGTAAGAAATTTGGAAGAGACCCAAAGGAGAAATGAATCCCCCTCTTTCATTCTCCGTCTCCATCATGATACTTTTAGATTTGGGAGCTGAACCAACTGATTTCTGGCTTAGCCACAAAGTAGAGCAAACTGGAAACATTCCAGTTTACCTTTTGAGACCGAAGTGCTTGGAGGCAAGTGGAAAGGAAATATTTGCAAAAAAACAATGTATATAGCACTCTAGATTCCTTTCTCCCCCAAAGAATTTTGCCCCAGCTCTAAAAGGGAAATGGAATAAAACTGCAAATTGAGATGGGGAAAAATCCTAATTAATAAGCGTTTGTGCAAGAAACCTCAACTGGTGATTTTGGATATGCTGAAAAGTACACTGCCCTTTCAGGATAGAAGAAAAGCTAATGACCCAGCAGGCAGGGTTATAGGCTATGAACAATTTTCATTTCTAACATTCCCAAGCAGCAGGCACAATGTTCTGCGGATCAGACCCTAAGGTTTTCAGGCTGGTCTGCAGCCAAAAAGGGATTATTTTTCCAATTCTTATAGGCATCCTTGGAAATCCCCTTTCTTTCCCACAAAACAATCATCTTGTACAAACTGCTACAACTGCCTCCAAGCACTTCCATCTACAGTGGCTGTTTGTACAAATAGTCCTCAATTTACAACTGGAACCAGAATCTCTGTGGCTAAACAAGGCAATTGTTAAGTGAATCACACCTGATTTCATGACCTTTTTTTTTTTTGCCATGGTTGCTTAATGGATCACTGCTGTTATTAAGTGAATTGTGCAGTCAGTAAGTGAACTGGTTTCCTCTGTTGACTTTGCTTGTCATCTGGGAAGGCTGCAAATGGCAGTCATCTGATTCCCTGCGCAGCCCCCCAATTAAACAGACCAATATTATTTTTACAATAATGTAAATATTTAGAATAGAATAGAACAGAGCTGGATGGGACCTTGGAGGTCTTCTAGTCCAGCCCTCTGCTCAAGCAGGAGAACCTATAACATTTCAGATAAGAGATTGTCCAGTCTCTTCTTAAAAACCTCCAGTGATGAAGCGCCCACAACTTCTGGTGGCAAGTTGTTCCACTGATTAATTGTCCTCACTGTTAGGAAGTTTCTCCTTAACTCTAGGTTGCTTCTAGAACCAGCAGGCCCCCCATGGCTGATGAAAAAAACATCTGGGCATTATGGTTTGATACATCTCTGAATATGATGTGACTAGAACTAAAATCCTTTTTTCCCCTCTTATTATAGAGTCACATGGTAAATGCGTCTGCTTGCTGCCTAACCAGTGCCCCCGTGATGGGCAGCCCATTTCCTGCGTCCAAATAAGGACAAGAAAGATAACAGCAAACCTTTGCATGCTGGGAGCATTGAAGTGCTCCAAAACGGACATTGTAATTTTACATGAAGGAAGCTGTCCAAACTAAAAGATGTCAGTTTCCCATTCATGGACATCAATGACTGTTTTTTTGTTTTTGTTTTGCTCTGGCCTTTCCAAATTGCTTTAATTCCAGCATCCGACCATCTTGTTCCAGCCTTTCTTATCCATGTCATCACCACACATCTGGAGTTCATGGCAATTCCTCTTCTCTCCAACTGAATAACTGAGCATGGATCAAATGCACTGCATTCAAAAAGTTAGTGGAGCTTTGCAGTGGTGGGATGCAAATGTTTTTACTACCGGTTCTGTGGGCGTGGCTTGATGGGTGTAGCAGGGGAAGGATACTGTAAAATCTCCAGTCAGAGGTGGTATTTGCCGGTTCTCCGAATTACTTAAAATTCCCGCTACCGGTTCTCCAGAACTGATCAGAACCTGCTGAATACCACTTCTGGAGCTTTGATTCCACTGTCACAGCTGCCTTCTTGGCCCCTTTCATGTGATGGAATTCAATTTCCAATCTCAAATGTCAGGAGTAAGTGTCCAGTGTCCATTCCAATAATATATGAGTTCTCTAAGCTGGACCCTAAATAGCAGCTGACTCTTCAACATGGCTGCTGCTGCTTCTCTCCATTCTGACAAGCATTTTTGCCCTGCTTTAAAAGTCCTCCTTACCTCTTGAGACAGCCAGCAATTTCAATGCATTAAAAAAAAAGCAACAGGAATTTAGAATAATGAGAGTTGGGAGGGACCTTTGGAGGTCATCTAGTCCAACCCCCTCCTTGAGCAGGAGTCTATTCCAAACATTAGCCTCTACCTAGGATCAAACTCACAGCCTCCTGATTGTGAGGCAAGAGCTCCACCTCTAGGCCAAATTCCCCAGCCTATTTCTTTGCTTCCTTCCTGGTTTTGCCCTCACCCCACTCGTTCTATGGCCAGGAAGTCAAACAGACCAAAAAACAGTTTTCTTAGACCAGCTACAGTGTGATACTGGCATCTGGATGTCATCTGCATTCCAAAAAAGATCAATCCGGTCAATCTACCATTTTCATTAAAAGAAAATAATCCAAAAGCAGAGGTGGAAAACCTTTGGCAAGCCAACAACCACTGATCTAAAATAGATTTCCCCCCAACTACATGTCCTCCAGATGTATAGAAAAAGCAAGTCCCAGAATTCCTTAGCAACTCCAACATCAATACAGATAATATTAGGTTAGGTTGTCCCAAAGGTGCTTTTTCAAGAGGCAACTGGACTTTCTGGTTTTTCTTTGAAGACATTTCATTTCTCATCCAAGAAGCTTCTTCAGCTCTGATTGGATGGTGGGGAATGGAAGGATGTATACCCCTTGCAGACAGCACTATTTTATTATTAGTATGTTATTACCTGGTGACTCTGATGACACAGATAAACCACCAGGTGATCTTAGCAACTTGCTAAAAGAATGCAAATGACCAGCTGTCATGGCCCCCATAGACAATGCCATGATCACTAATTTCTGTTCCTTACCAAGATACTTCTCAATTGAATACTATTAAGTTGTTAAGTAGAATTATTGGTAGTTATAGTACTGATGTACCTGCAAAGTGCAAGCTTTCTCTGGCTTGAATTATCCTAATGTCTAATTTGAGGGAAATCCTTAAATATCATGTTGGGAAATAATATTTTAATAAGACACAAATCTACTCAGAAATCACTGAGCTCAGTGAATCTTATTCTCTGCTAAGCACATGCACAATTGCAACCTAACCCTGTTTTCAAAAAAAGATTATAACTATGTTGTTATTTAATTCCTATACAATGCACAGGGCAATCTGTAGACTATTCTGAACAAAAAAATTATCAGATCTATAATAACTGCTCAGCATTAATCCACTGTAACCTTGGAACTTGCTTGGCTTAAATTTCCCAACTTTCTGTTCTGTTAACACTTAACCAATACAAATAAATGGCTGCTGCAAACAACCAACCACTTTTCTTGTTTTTATGACTCATGTCTTTCAAATAAACGTTGATATTTATTAACAGTGGCATGTTTTATTGGAAGTGAAAGTGATCTATGCCCGCAGTACTATTTACATTGCTATATTATTCCTAGGCTTCCCATGAATGTTTTTAATCCAATAGGGTAAGTCTCATTTCTTTTATAATGATTTATTATTATATGGGATTATTTTGTGCACTACTATATTTTAAAATCATTTTTAAAAGAATTGCTTTTCTGGATCAGCCCATCTTTTTGTCTCTAGGTATGTAGCAATTTGACAGTGACCTTTGAAATATTTCTAGGGTGCTTCCAAGTGTGGTGTAACACTAATCTTTCCCTTTTTTTAAATCCCAGAATTTCTGCCCCTTGAAGGAAGAGATTCTATTGAACTATCATTTGCCTTACAGGTAATTCTTGCTTAACAACCCTAACTGAGACCAGCAAACCCATCACTAAGCAAGGTGGTTGTAAAATGAAATATCACCTGATTTGCCATGCTTGCAGATATCACCTCCAGTTGTTTAGCAAGTCATCATGTTTCATGATTTGCAATCTGCTGGCTTCTCCATTGATTTTGCTAGTCAGAAGCTAGCTGGAAAGGTTGCAGATGGAGATCAGATAATTGAGGGAATCCTAAATGCAAGATAGTTCCTAAGTGCCTGAATCATGATCATGTAATTGCAGGGATGTTGCACTGGTACTAACTGCAAGGACTGGTTTTAAGTCACTTTTTTTCAGCACCATTGTAACTCTGAATGGCCACTAAATGAATGGTTGTTAAGGAAGGACTACCTGTACTAGTAAACTCTAGTAGTGAGTGCCACACAAGAACAGTTTTCCCCTGAATGCCATCACTCTGCTAAACAAATAATTCTCTCAACACTGTCAAACTATTTACTAAGTCTGCATTATTATTACTATTAATCCTCCCATCTTTCCTTTCACCTATCTCCTCCCACTTATGACTGTATGACTGTAACTTTGTTTCTTGTATCCTTAAGATTTTTACTGACTGTTTCCTAGTATGATTTGATTGCTTATTGTACCCTTATGATTATTATTAAGTGTTGTACCTTATGATTCTTGTTGAATGTATCTTTTCTTTTATGTACACTGAGGGCATTTGCACCAAGACGAATTCCTTGGGTTTCCAATCACACTTGGCCAATAAAGAATTCTATTCTATTCTGTTCTGTTCTGTTCTGTTCTGCTCTGTTCTATTCCTCACATCGAAAGAAGTGACACTTGGTGGTGAATGAAATGGTTGGAAGAAGTACTTTTGTTTCAAAAATCAGGATGCAACATTTCATTGCAGATTTTATTAGTAATGGCTATAATTCAGTGTAATATTGTACTTTGGCCTTTTAAAATTATGAATGGCTACGAGCTATCCATTTTGGCTCTGACTGGAGTTCCCATGAATGGAGCTATACTTTTAATTTAAGCTGCCTCCAGCATATAATTTGTGTATTTTCATTGCTGTTGTTGTCGTTTAATGTGCCTTGAGCTTCATTTGATGGCCATGCATACATTTTTCATTGCTAAGAACATTGGCTTTGGTAGCATTTTGATCCTACTGAGTACCCATACTCTCTGAGAAGCCAAATTCCATTTTGTAATATTTGGAGGTAATGGAAACATTTAGAAGAAGCCAGCTTATTCTGTAACACATGGTCTTGTGAAGACAAAATCTATATCCTATACACAGCATCGCTGTTTTATCTCATTCTGTTCTGTAATAAAGTATTCAGATGTATGTTTATGGTTTGACTTATTGAAGGATAGGTGGGTTTAGCTGCGTGTTGAGTTACACACAGGGTAATGTGTAGTGAGGACAGAACATCAGCTATAAATGTATTGTTCTATAAAAGGTGTACAATCTAGTACAATTAACTTATCTAGTTGTTCATGGAATGGTAAAACTGAATGCTTCCTGAAGTATTTATATAGCTGGATAAACACAAGCTTTTTATTAAAAAAAATTATATAAACAGATATTTCTCAACAAGAGCACATATTTCACCTCCATTTACCACCCAGGCATATCATTTAAGACAAACATTGACATACTGGAACATGTCCAAAGGAGCGCTAGCAGAATAATGGAAAGCTGGAATCAAGCCCTACAAGAAATGATTGAACGTTTTGGTTATACAGCATTTAACCTAAGCATGAAATCATGAAAAGATAAGATGATTGTTCCAGTATTTGAAAAGCTGTCATATAGTAGGTGAGACAGGATTGTTTTTTTTTAACTGTGCCAGGAAGCAAAATTAAAGCATAAAATATGTAGAGATGCAGATTTCAATAAAACATTAGGATAAATATGGAAACAACTTGGAAGTCTCACACAGTGGCGGGTTCTTCTTTATCAGAGATTTTTAAGAACAACCAGTCATTTGCTGAATGGTCATCTGCAGAGATCTGGTCCTTTGCTGCACTCAAGAAGGTTCTGGAGATCCCAAATTCCTTCCAAACACATCAAAACTACCATTTTACAATTCTGTGATTGATCACCGAATAATGTGTTTTACCTCTGTATTTAAATATTATCATATATTTTTCAGTATTTTTTGCAACATTACTCTGTCCCATCACATGTTATTTGGGGCATTTCGCCATATTTGGGGTGTCCAGCTATAGACTGGATATTGGGAAACAAGGGTGTCAAGAGTTACCCAGTTGCAAAAAAGACTTCAGAAAGCATTTGCTTTTAACCGTTCTATAGGTAATTCAATGATCTGATTGTTCTACCTAAACAGCTCAGATTATTTTTGGGAGAACAGTCAATGCAATTTTATAATGAAATGAGCTTGGGAATATTGTAGAATCTTCTTTTCTAGTTTTTTGCCAGAGGAGGCTGGGCTAGTTTCTGTTTTGGATGCTTCAGAGCTAGTTCTCACACCCAAGCTGTGTCCTAATGGTAGCAGCATAAAAGATGGCTGGCATGTATGTACAGTCTGCTACAGATATAGTCTTGTCTGTTGATCCATTGGTGGGAGACTGGAAGGAGGTTGGGATGCAACTGAACACAGAGATAATATATGTAGCTCTTGCTAATGTGATCCTGTCAGTGTCAACTCATAAAACATTTCTATGGCTGTTTTATAGTTGCCAACAGAAAAGGAGGTGGGAAAGGGGTTTGAAAGAGCAGTGTAGCAGTTTGGAACTGAAAGTGCATTCCATTCATAGTTTTTCAGAGATTGTAACTAGGTGACTGAAAATCTAATTGGAGAACATGATTGATGACTCTTGGGTATGGACATGTTTTGTTGGAGAATATGAATTATGATACACCCAGAGGGGTGGAGGAAAACCAGGGTCAAGGGTGACAGTGAATTATGTAACTCAGAGTCGGCTACACCCAGTCATGCCAATATGTTAACTCGCAATAAATCCTGTTTAGTTTTGGAAGTTTGGCTCGAGACTCATGATTTAATTGGGGTAACTGCCGGAATCCTGACAGTCAGATTGAGAGAGGCTTAAGGTAATCAAAGCTAGGATCTTGGACCACATCTCCTACTTATGAATTTAATTTTAATTCCAGGTATGAATTGTATCCAGCAATTCAGGGATGTTTGCAGGGAGAAAAAGCCAAGATGACAATTACAATAAGCACACATAAAAAAAATGGGCATAGCTTTGACTGCACCTTTGCAGATGTCATTTTGACCTTATCATTACACGGACACTTCTGTGGGATCTACAATTAAATATTGCCCTGTGAAATCTTTTCTTTCAGGTTTAAACAATGAACAGTCTTGACAATGTGACATTCTGAACTTTTTTTGCTGTTTACATCTCTTTCTACAGTGCCCTTTCCCCTGCTATTCTGCTTTCATTTCTCATTCAGGCATCCATCCTTTTGGTAAGACCTGCCAATGAATGTATTTATTTATCAGACTTTTATCTCACTTTTGTTACTTTTATAAGTCACTCAAAGCAGAGAATATACTTAAAACTCCTCCCTCCTCCTGTTTTTCCACAACAAAACCCTATAAATTGGATTGAGCTGAGAGAAAATATCTGGCCCAAAGTCATTTAACCACTTTCTTGGTTAAGGCATGAGTAGAACTCCAATCTCCTGGTTTCTAGGCCAGCAATATCCAAAATATCCAAAATCAGAAAGATAAGATTATTCATTTGTGCAGTTTAAGATGTATAAACATCAACTTCTAGAATTCTCCCACCAGCGATGCTTGTTGCAGAATTCTGAGAGTTGAAGTCCACATATCTTAAAACTGCCAAGGTGTGGAAATTAGACATTCTGTAAGTGATCTTCCAGTCATGTAATAAAAGTATCACTTTAATAAACTGTTCCCTTACTGCAGTTAACATCACCCTCTCTCCCATTTCATGTGCTCTTTAATAGTTTTTACAATTTTAATGATTGTTTTTATATGTGCTTATTGGTTTTCTTTTTAATTAAGTGCTGACTACTGCCCAGAGTCACTCTTTTTTAGATGGTGGCCATACAAATATGATAATTAATAATAAAAATATTATTATTATTATAGAAATGAAGCCCAGATCTTTTATGACATACAAATATTTCCAAATCCATAACATGAATTGGGATCTTTATATATTGTTGTAAATTATTATAATGTAATATATATTTCTAAGGAGCCATTCTTTGTAGCTTGATATTTTTTAGCCATGAAAAGAAACATCTTCATATATATTAACCTTCTGAGCTTTGTAGTTGGAAAAGGGCTTGGATGTTTCTGTGATCATTATCCATGGAGTGCTTGGTCCAGCTGTTCAAAAACGTGCAATTATGGAACACAAAGCCGAATCAGGTTGGTACAACTACAAGAAGATTTCTTTTCCCTGTAAAAACAGGAGCCATAATTTCCACTTGATTAAGACATTTTAAACATGTATTTTAAGCATATTATAGACAAGCATATACATGTTCTTATTTTCCCATGATAACCAAGGGAAGAGGAAGTAGGAGGAAATGTTGGAAGATATTGAAAAGTGTTACAACATCTAAAGGGCATGGGGGGTGGGTTTCCAACCTTTTCTCTAAAGCACTTAAAGTAGGACAAGATGCAATGGATGGAAACTAATCAAGAAGCTTTAAGACTTGTGGACTTCAACTCCCAGAATTCCTGAGCTAACATGACTGGGGGAGGAATTCTGGGAGTTGAAGTCCACAAGTCTTAAAGCTATGAAGTTTGAAGACCCCTGGATAGGAACTTCTGTTTGAGCAGATGTTGGATGAAAGACCTCCAAGGTCCCTTCCAACTGGTATTCTACACTGCTCAAAAAAATAAAGGGAACGCTTAAACAATGCAATGTAATTCCAAGTCAATCACACTTCTGTGAAATCAAACTGTCTACTTAGGTAGCAACACTGATTGACAATCAATTTCACATGCTGTTGCACTGCCAGAGCCCTGCAAAATGACCTCCAGCAGGCCACAAATGTGCATGTGGCTGCTCAAACGGTCAGAAACAGACTCCATAAGGGTGGTATGAGGGCCCAACATCCACAGGTGGGGGTTGTGCTTACAGCCCAACACCATGCAGGACGTGTGGCATTTGCCAGAGAACACCAAGATTGGCAAATTTGCCACTGGCGCCCTGTGCTCTTCACAGATGAAAGCAGGTTCACACTGAGCACATGTGACAGACATGACAGAGTCTGGAGATGCCATGGAGAACGTTCTACTGCCTGCAACATCCTCCAGCATGACCGGTTTGGCAGTGGGTCAGTAATAGTGTGGGGTGGCATTTCTCTAGGGGGCCGCACAGCCCTCCATGTGCTCGCCAGAGGTAGCCTGACTGCCATTAGGTACCAAGATGAGATCCTCAGACCCCTTGTGAGACCATATGTTGGTGCGGTTGGCCCTGGGTTCCTCCTAATGCAAGACAATGCTAGACCTCATGTGGCTGGAGTGTGTCAGCAGTTCCTGCAAGACGAAGGCATTGATGCTATGGACTGGCCCACCCATTCCCTAGACCTGAATCCAATTGAGCACATCTGGGACATCATGTCTCGCTCCATCCATCAACACCACGTTGCACTACAGACTGTCCAGGTGTTGGGGGATGCTTTAGTCCAGGTGTGGGAGGAGATCCCTCAGGAGACCATCCACCACCTCATCAGGAGCATGCCCAGGTGTTGTAGAGAGGTCATACAGGCACATGGAGTCCACACACACTACTGAGCCTCATTTTGACTTGTTTTAAGGACATTACATCAAAGTTGGATCAGCCTGTAGTGTTTTTTTCCACTTTAATTTTGAGTGTAACTCCAAATCCAGACCTCCATGGGTTGCTAAATTTGATTTCCATTGATAATTTTTGCGTGATTTTGTTGTCAGCACATTCAACTATGTAATGAACAAAGTATTTAATAAGAATATGTCATTCATTCAGATTTAGGATGTGTTTATTTGTGTTCCCTTTATTTTATTTTTTGAGCAGTGTATTTTGTTAAACTTAAGGAAAGGCTTATATTAATCAAAACTGAAGCCAATGCTTGGTTTGTGATCTTCCAAACTCACTTTTCTGCCTCTCTTGTTTTTGAGAGTGCAGTAGGAATAGGTTGGATGAAGCTCTTTGTGTGATAAGATTCTTCTCTGGTTTGGGATCCGTCCTCGCAACAAAGAGCTTTAGAAATATATGTGGCTATTTGCCATGCCTGCCAAATCCATAGCTAACCTTTGTGATGCTTGCTAAATGCATAAATAATAAGATGACTAGATGGAGTACATCTGCAGCATGGACAAAAGTAGCCCGTAGGAATACAGGTCTTTCATCTTCATCTTCTTGTCATAAGATTCGGGATTAATGTACAATATCTTCATCTTGCAGGGCAATAGTGCGAGATGATTATTATAATAAGAATTTTTGTGACCAACTGTGCCAATGGGTTGAATCTCGGGCTTGTAGCCAGCAAGCATGTCCAATCAACTGCCAACTCGGTGACTGGGAAGAGTGGTCAGAATGTGACCCATGTGTTAAAAAACAGGTAATTTGACCACGAGATGTATGAGAAACAATGCAGTTGCCTCTGTTTTCAGCATGCATGATGCAGAAAATGTTTCAAGCCTTCTGAAATATGGATGCAGAGGAATAATAGTTTTTTTTTAAAGAAAAGGTACATGGAAAGATATACCTTTGTATGACCCGCTAGCAAAAATAAAGTCTCCTGCAGCTGAAATTTTAGATGAGGTATTAAGAAAATTTGTTTTCTTGTTTCCTCCCCATCCACGGATTTCGCTTTTTAGTTCCGTGTCAGGCCTCTGCTACAACCATCTCAGTTTGGAGGTCAGACTTCTTGTGGGCAGATGGTGGATGACCGGCCCTGTTTTCCAGAAAAATTATGTAACATAGAGGAAGTGAACTGTGCAAATAAGTTTCAGTGTGATAACGGTAATCCCTGTTTTATTATCTTTATGGTCAACTACAATAAACATTCAATTTAACCAGGGGAGCCTGAGGGGAAGAAGTAAAAAGTTAAAAAAAGTTAAAAAAAAAACAAGATGGTGGTCTCAACCATGCAGTTGAAACTCCACCCCCTTTTACCTGTGGAAGGGATTGTGTTGTTATGGCCACCACTATCTTGGCTCTTCTGGATTTAACAGATTTTGGTTATCTGATTTAAGACATGTTAGACAAATATGAAAATATGTATCTTGCATAAAATATACATTCATAAAATATGCAAAATCCCATTCCCATTTCACACAAACCTAAAATATGTAAAATGAATAAAATAAATATGCATAACATCCCATTCATTTTTAAGGGAAATTATTCTTTAACAGGAATCACTTTCCCTGTATTGGTCCATTAAAACAAAGGATTCCTGTTTATCATTCTTTTAATTCTGAACTTGAAACTAATAAAAGTATGACTCCAACCTCATGACTTGTCAATATAAAATTCCACTTAGGTGTTATTAAAAAAACATGTTTTCCCCAAGCAACCTGAATGACTCATTTGCCATCTTGTCCTTTCTGTGCTCATTTAGATTTAGATTTTATTTTTTTTATCACCTTTATTATTTCTTAAGGCAATAAACAAATCTAATATTCCTTCCTCCTGCTATTTTCCTCACAATAACAACCCCATGTAATTGAGCTGGGAGAGACCAACTGGCCCAAAGTTACCCAGCCAACTTTCATGCATAATCTTCTAGCCTGGTGCCGTAACCACTACAGCAAACTGGCTTTTTCCCCATTTAACCAGGGCAGTGGTGTTTCCTAATAATGTTTTCATGCTCCCCTTTACCTGTTTTCCAAAGCCAGCAGTTTTTGAATTCCAGTTTTGGGGAGATTATGAGATTGTGAGTTATGGCTACCATATCTGAGTTCCAAAACCCCTGTCATCCACTAGACAGCACCAAAGAGCCAATGTTTTCTGCCTCTTTGCTGCCATCTAGTGGTCTCCTGACCCAGCTAAGGCAATGCTACCTTAAGATTAAGGTGGGGAACTCACCATACCTGTCTACTCTAAGCAATGCCATAAAGTCAATGTTAAATTCTGTGTCTGAAACTGACAAAGCCACCTTGATTTTTCCAAAACAGGACGCTGTGTTGCCAGAAAGCTAAAATGTAATGGAGAAAATGACTGTGGAGACAATTCAGATGAACAAAATTGTCGGAAAATAACGCTTGTCTGCCAGTCAAGACTGGAAAGCATACCCAGTGTGCAACTCATGGGCCTTGGGTAATGTACACAAAGAGCTCTTCTTCATTATTGAAACAATGACATCTAGTAGTCCTTGAACTAGCAGAAAACGGTCCCACACATACATGTTTCTTCCATCGTTCATCCTTATATAACTATATTGTTAGAGGTGATGCTTTTATTTAAAGGGTTAATGGCATATTATGGAGTGATGGATTCCCTGTGTTTGGTTCACTGGCAGCCTATGCAGATGGCAGCAGAATTGGACAGTGGGGAAAAACGGGGATCAGTCAGGCAGTCTGGAGAGGACTCGGACGAGGGTCCTGCATCCAATGCAAAGATGAGGCCAGGACTATCTGGGAGTGGGGTGCTACCTCTGGAGCCCCCAGAGTCTGGCAGCATGAGGCAGAGGACCCAGGGGTGCCTGTTCCCAGTGCACATGTGCGCAGAGCTGCTAGAAGGCAAGAGCAGCTGAAACAAAAGGGTGACTTGGGAGTAAGACTGGGAGGTGATTGCCCCTCCCATAAGAGCTAAAGGACAGACAAAGATGATGAAACCTTTGCAGGAAGCAAAGTCGTTCGTTCAGTTCAGATTCATTCTTCAGGCTCTTTGTACTTAGGTTGGTTTTTGCTCTAGTTCATTTGACACTTCTGTTATTGGCAGCACTTCACAGGAAAGAAAGGTGGGTGCTTATCTCAAGGGACTGTTTGAGATTCATTACTGGCTGGGAATGAAAATAATTCCCAGCATTGCAATAAAACAAGACTTGTTTTTAAAATAAGTGTGTGCGTAATTACGGTCTCAGAAGCCTTGGTCAGAACACCTTGAATAAACGAATTCTTGCCTGTATCATCAATAAAGTGGTAAGAACAAGGGAACCCATCAAAAATTTTGGTATCACTAGTCAAGGTGGTGGCTGTGATTATGACTGATGCACATCAAAAGAGGCACTGGTTGCTTGGTTGCAGCCATCATCTTGACTTTCTCAGTCCCTCCAGAATGTTCTCTTGCATGCCAGTCTGAACTTTGTAGCTCCAAATAAACGTAAATACTACCGGCAGAAGAGTTTCAGAATACCGGCTTTCTATTCATTTTAATAAATTACAATGCATTTTGTAAAATTTGAAAGGATAGGTAGCCTGATGTCCACTATGGGAGCTGTCTGGGGGCATATGTGGGCTTATTTATTTGTTTGTTTATCCATCCAATTGATATGGCTGCCTGTCTCAACTATTGACCCTGGGTGGTGAACTGAATTAAAATAGCAATAACACTTAGACTTATATTCCGCTTTACAGTGCTTTATAGCCCTCTCTAAGCAGTTTACAGAGTCAGCATATTGCCCCCAACAATCTGGGTCCTCATTTTACCCACCTCGGAAGGGCGGAAGGCTGAGTCAACCTTGAGCCTGGTGGGATTCGATCTGCCAAATTGCAGGCAGCTGGCTGTCAGCAGAAGTAGTTTGCAGTACTGCACTCTAACCACTGCGCCACTGAGTTTCTTTATAAAATAAAAAATAATTACAAACATTACAAAAATTAAAGTGCAAAGCAGCTGAACAAAATAAAACCCAAATCAGTAATACAGCCAAGAAGCAGTGGCCCTACACACACTCAGAGGTCATGGGCCAGGCACAGAACTACATTTTTAGGGCTTTACAAAAGGCCATCAAATCAGGATCATTGTGATCTCTTGAGGGAGAACATTCTTCAAGGTGGATGCTGCAACAGAAAAGGCACATCTTCTAGGACCTGCCAATGACTATTCCTTGTCTGGTGGGACTCAGAGCATGCCCAGGCTGTCTGACTGGATCAGATGGGTAGAAACAACTGAGGAAAGAAGGTTCCTCAGATAACTAGTCTAAAGGCATGAAGAACTTTAAAGATGAGAACCAGCACCTTCAATTGCACCAAAAAGAACGTGTCAGAACGTGTTTGCAGCATGGCTAACCTTATGAGACAACCCAAGAGCAAAACACAGCACACAGAGACTTAGACAGTTAACAATGGTTTATATACAACAGTTACTGTATATACAGAAATATAAGTGGTAGGCAAATATCTTACAAGCAAACCAACTTCTTAACTCTACACACTGAGAACTCTGCAATGAATACCAGACATAAACAGACACCATACCTTCAAAAATAGCTGCCTTATATAAATACCTCTTAAAGGAGTAAAACTTCTGTGGACCTACTCTTAGTCTTAAAAGAGCAATTCCCATGCTATGCTGATTCATCCTTATTTTATCAGCCAGACTTACAGCAGCTGGAAGCAATTACTGATAGTCAGTTCTTAAATCTTAATACCTTAACAGAATGCTGACAATCAATGCAGTTCATGGAGTTTTGATGTTATATGCACCTTGTATTATTATCCATGCCCCCACATTCTGCCCAATTGAAATTTTGGAAAGCATTTCAAGGGCAGTCTCACATAGGGCACATTGCAGTAAGACAGATGAGAAGTCAGAATTGTTTATCATTGATCTGACCATCTTTCTTTTATTACCATGATGATTCTAGGTATCATATCCTGGCTGGAGAAACCTGTGGAGAAATCCTTGATTATTCATTCAATAATGGTAGCTGTGTGGTGCTGAAAAGTGAAAACCAAAGAACTAGATATCGTCTACCTGCTAATCTCTACAACATCAGTTTTGAGGTGATTTTAAAATTTTCAATAAGACTGGGCACTGTATTAGTCATGGAACAATTTCAGTCTATACTCATCAACTTTTCTCCTATGGAGGTTTATCTTTCCATTTAGCTACCCACCTAAGAAATGGAAGACGTATTAAGAGCCTTCCAAAAGAGCAGGATGTGGACCAGTCTAACCATGGGAGGAATGATGTCACAAAGGCTCTCCTCCTTTGTTCTTGGAACAGAAGAGTCCTATCGAATAACAGTCCTTGGTAGACTGTAACATTCCTCTCCTCATGGGAATGTTCATTTTTATTGTATTAAAGCAGTAAAGAAGAACCTATTTAACATTGAGCAGATCAGTCAGGTGCTTAGTGGGACTATCACTAGTATCTCAGTATGCAGATGAAGAGACTGAGGCATGGAGAAAAATAGCCAGCCCAACACAATTTTGTCCCAATGGCACAAACACCATTCCTCACCTAGTTCATGACTCAACCTTCACTCTTACATGCTTACTTGCAATGTTGCAACACAGGTTAAAATGAGTCAGAGATTGCAACCATAACAGGTGGTTTGTTGTTTGCAGTTGTCCCCACTTTGAATACCCAAGCCAGGCTTTCAAATGCGCTTGTTGCTGAAGCAAACGGGATCCCAATAGGATTTCTTAATGCATGGACTTATAAACTCTTGGCTCAGTCTCGAAGTCTCTCCCAGCATTCATATATGAAACTGTAGACATTTTTGCATATATACATTTTTTCCAAGCATTTTTTTAAAAAAAAAACTAAAATTTTCATTTTTGATGGATTTTCATTCTGCTGCCTCCCTTCCCAAAGCACCTCTGTAATTACACAAATCTCTATTTAGGTGAAAACTCAAGAAGATGACGTGATAACAAGGTCCTACACCAGCTTAACATCCTTGGTCCGTTCTCATGATAAAACCTCCTCTTCTAGGCATGTTTCGGGGGGTACTAGTGGAATCCCTTATTTCTGGGGGTCAATATCAACCACAACATCAACCTCATCTTATCAGTTCAAGCAAGCCATTAAAGCATCCCAAAAAATGGTAAGAATCTGTATCCTTGGAAGTCAGCTCCTTCTATATTACAGGTAGTCCTCACTCAGTGACCACAATTGGGATTGGCAGCTCAGTCATTAAGCACAGCTAAGTGAAACCACAACAGTGTTTACGGTATGATTTCAGCTTTCCTTTAAAAACCTGTTGTAAATGTGAGGACTAGACATTTTTCATCTCTGTTGTAACTATGAATGAAGGTAAATGAGGCAGTTGCTAATCAAAGACAACTAGCATTGCAGGGGTCCCCCAACCCCTGGGCTGCAACCCACTACCAGGCCATGGTCCATTCGGAACCAGGCTGCGTGAGTGGCTGGCTGGTTCCTCTCACTCACCCACCCACCGGACTGCCAAGCTGTAAAGGCTGGGGGCCACTGTTGTATAATCTTTTATTGCTACTATGATGTTCTGCTATAATCACTTGGAAGCAGTGATATTTGGGCAGATGATTGGGGTCAAAATTGGCAAGATGGCAGACAGAGCATTGCAATATACAAAGGAATGCAATGTTTGATCTACCATCTTGAAACCTCAGCTCTCTCAGCAGGTGCCATTGCCTGGAAGAGAATTAAAATGAATATTTAGCACAAATCTTTTGACCATTTCATCCTCAAAATTGCAGTAAAGACCTCTGAATGTTGATTTAGTTCCCTGTTGCAGTTTCAGCTGATTCAGCTGCTTTTCTTTTCTTTTTTAAAATGTAGCCAGCACCAGTTTAAGTTTCCTCCAATACAAACATAGCTTTGTATGCACACATCCTTATTTTGCTTAAAATTTAAGGCCCCATTTAATGACGGTGCACACAACTTGGTCCTTTCTATTGTGAAATTATTTACAATAGCTAATTAATTGTATGCTATTAAGTCATTTTTGACTCCTAGTGTCCACAGATAAAGATTTTTTTCCATGATAATGTGGCCCTAACCTGGTATTTCAGGTCTTCCACTGGGCTTCTCAATGTATTTATTCTCAACTCTCAGCAACAGCCATGTTTAGCTGGTTTCTTTGCAGTGGTGGTTCAGCAACACTTGGTGAGCCATAGGTTTTTCATTCACTTTTCCCTTATATTGTGGATGTCAACATTCCAAGTAATGCACCCATAGAAACCAGAACTCTGAGGCAGGCAGATTCCTCAAAGAACAGGTTTATTGGATACATCATATTGGCACAACTGGTGAAAGCCGACTCTAAAGTTCCCGCAGCTTTCCTCAAGTCACTGGTCACGCTGTCCAATCCAAGTGCTGGCTGGTTGCTTGGTTACTTCACTCCTCCTCTGGCCAGCCACCAGTGAGAATGTCCTTGGTTCCCACAGGAAAACATTGTTTTGGCTACAAAACTGTGTCTAACTATTTCCCCCCTCCCTCTGTTTGTGTGGCAACCCTGAAGCCTTCAAGATGGCCTCAGCCAGGTTCACTCCAGTGTTGACAGTGGACACAGAGCCTGAATTCTGCTGGCTATCAGAAATCTGCAAATGTCACCCCTTGATCTCCATTCTCAGTTTACCTCAGATTACCCACTGCTACCAGTTCCACTGTTTACAATACATGTTCTCAAAACAGAGGTTAGGGGAGAAAGAGGAGAGTGCAGGTTTGACTCTAGGTTTTTGGAATCTCCTTGCCTGGAGCACTACTGTCCCTTTTCTTTCTCCTGGACCTCATCTGCATCAATGCTTAAAATGGAACCAGAGGAGGGAAGAGAAATGAACAGAAAGAGATCAACAATGGGCCTCTCCTTAGATGAGACTCTAGACAGGTGTCCAGACCATAGAGGAATTAATTTCTTTAGCAGATGCTAAAATGGATTGCACAGGTAGTCATAAACTTACGACCACAATTGAGCCCAACATTTCTGTGGTTAAGTGAGACATTTGTTAAGTCAGTTTTGTCCCATTTTACAACCTTTTTACCCCAGTTGTTAAGTGAATTGCTGCAGTTGATAAGTTAGTAACCCGGCTGTTAAGTGAAGCTGGCTTTCCCATTGATTTTGCTTGTGAAAAGTTTGCAAAAAGGTGACCTTGGAACACAGCAATGGTCATAAGTATGATCAATTGCCAAACATCTAAATTTTCATGACATGATTATGGGGATGCTACAAACAGTCACAAATCAATTTTTTCAGTACTGTTGTAACTTTGAATGGTCACTAAATAAATTGTTGTTAGTCGAGGACTACCTGCATTTATTTATGTAATTTATTTATATAATATATATGGCCACCTATCTCATACAAATTGCTCTGAATTACATAAAGTAAAGGTAAAGGTAACGGTTCCCCTTGCACATACATGCTAGTCGTTTCTGGCTCTAGGGGGCGGTGCTCATCTCTGTTACAAAGCCGAAGAGCCAGCGCTGTCCGAAGACGTCTCCATGGTCATGTGGCCGGCATGACTAAACACCGAAGGCGCACAGAACGCTGTTACCTTCCCACCAAAGGGATCCCTATTTTTCTACTTGCACTTTTTTTTACATGCTTTCGAATTACATACAAGCAGAGGTGGTAGCCAGCAGGTTCTGACCAATTCCGGAGAACCGGTAGTGGAAATTTTGAGTAGTTCAGAGAACCAGCAAATACCACCTCTGACTGGAGATTTTACAGTATCCTTCCCCTGCCACGCCCACCAAGCCACGCCCACAGAACCAATAGTAAAAAAAAATTGAATCCCACCACTGCATACAAGGCTTAAAAACCTGAAAAGGTCACTGACCAAAAAAGCACGAGAGACAATAACAATCTGCCTCTATTTTGTTATGTTTCCTAAGTCTTCCAATTATATTAGGATCCATAAGGTGTTTGCAGTTTCAAATTTCACGGTGAAGGAGCAAGATCTGCAGCTCTCTGCGGTGTTCTTAAGGTCTCTCAACAATCTGCCTCTGGAGTACAACTATGCCTTATACAGCCGGATTTTTGATGACTTTGGGACACATTATTACACCTCTGGTTTATTGGGAGCCAAATATGACCTTCTGTACCAGTTTAGTGAGGAAGAAATAAAAAATTCAGGTATGTGGTCCATATGATATATATTGACTGTTTCCTAGTATGATTTGATTGGTTATTGTACCCTATGACTATTATTAAGTGTTGTACCTTATGATTCTTGACTCTTGACAAATGTATCTTTTCTTTTATGTACTGAGAGCATTTACTCCAAGACAAATTCTTTGTGTGCCCAATCAATTTATCTCTGTTTCTAGAGAACTAACTAAGCTAAACTAAACTAACAAACTAAAAGACTCAAGGTCTATCCCAGCCCTGAAAGAACCTAATGGTAAAGACTGCAATGATGACACCATTAAAGCCAACCTCTTTTTTTATATATATATAAATTTTATTTGAGTTTTCACAAAGAGAAAAAAAATACAAATAAAACATCTTTTTTTGAAAGCAGCATAATCCCGGGTTACATTTCTTCGTACAGACACAAATTCAGGTTCATGCTCATTTTTATATTCTATTCCATATCTTATTACTATTTTACATTTTCTGCATAGCTTCTCCCCTCTTTTAATTTTCTCAATTTTATTTTAATTATCTCATCTCAATTCAAATCATTGTATTTATATTTTTTGTCTGTCCTGTTTCAATTATCTATTATCTTTTCTCATTAAACAAAATTTCTCCTGTAGTTACTGATTGGAGCATGACGCCTTTATATCTTTTCCCTAAAGTTGTAACATTCAATATAATACATAACTTCCATTCGGATTCTGCTTGGTACATTCTTAAAATACACACTGTATTCTTAAAAAAAGAAAAAAATTATAAATGTATATAATTAAAACAACATTCCATTCCAAGTCAATTCTATCATTAATATTAATATTCCTTTCCTAATTCAATTTTCTCATTTATTTTATTTCACTTATTTTATTCACAAACATTTCACTAAATTACACTAACTATTTTATCCTTCATTTTAATCATACGTTGTTTCCAATTTTCTAAAGTTATTTCTATTACTAATATAACAATACAATCTTATGTATCTTTACAGAATCCCTTTTTCAGTTAGATTTTCACCCATTATCTCTAAATAGGTCCTGTTTCTCTATATCTTGCTCCGGTCCTTTGTAACTTATTTTCCTTTCCTTCTTCCCTCTCTTCTTCTCTCTCCCCTTTTTACCCCCTTGTCTCTCTACCTCTATTTCTCTCTTCTATATTCCCCTTTTCTGTTGCTTTCCAGTATTATACTTATTTTTCGAATTATTTTTCTTTTCTTTGGTTGTTTTTTTAAGTCTTAAATTCTCCATTCTCTCTCCCTCATTTCCTTTTTCTTCCCCATATAAAATTGCTTATTCATTAAATATGGCTTCTTCTTTGTCCCAGTCTTCTTGTTTTGCAGTTGTTTCTTGTTGTTTCTCATAGTTCCAAATCTCCATTTCTAAGAATTGAAAAACGAAGCCAAAAGAACCCTTCCCTTCTTGTGCATCTTCTTTGTACTTTTTAAGTTCCATTTTAAATTCATCCAGAAGTGGTGCCATTGTATAAATTTTTAAACAACCACCCGATTGATTTTAGTCATAAAAATATAATAACCAAAAATCCAAAGGTCACCAAATAATCCAAGCTGTTTCTTTTTGCTCTTTTTTTTTCCACTTTGTCTTCCTGGGGTTACTATTTAGTTGCAAAGTTTCAGTTAAAATGTATCTTTTAGAAGTCTTGTTGAAGTTTTAGTTTAGATTCTTTTTAATTCCAGGCAGTCTCCTCCCTCTTCCAGATCCTGCCCTTATTCTTTTTCTCTTCCTTCCTGCTTATGAAAAAGAAAGTTCTTAATGTCCAGAAATCTTTATTATCCCTTTGGCATTTTGTTTTATTTTCAGCTTAATTGCCTATTGATGTCAAAGCGGATTTTTCCGATTTCTTATTTAAGTCTCTTAGTTGTCAGTATAGGGAAGGAGGGAGAAGGGGGGAAAAAAGCCAAACCTTTCCCTTTTCACTTTCCTTCGCTGCTTCCGACTCTTCTTTGCGAGCGATGTTATTTTTTCATTAAAGCCAACCTCTTTAACACATTCTTTGGCTCAGTATTTGTAAACAGCAATGGATTATGCCCAATATTTCCTAGTCAAACCACAGACAACTACAATGATCTGATACATATCGATTTTACAGAAGACAATGTTGAAAAAGCACTACACAATCTAAAACCATCTGTATCTTTTGGACCAGACAGAATATGTGCCTACTTCTTAAAAAAGCTGCCATAGCCGAACCTCTAAGCATAATCTTTGAAAAATCTTTCAGGACCAGCTCCTTGCCAAACCTATGGTCACAAGCCACGGTCATCCCCATCTTCAAAAAGGGAGACCCCAGCTTAGTTGAAAATTACAGACCAATCTCCTTATGCTGCGTCACCTGTAAAGTCATGGAATCAATTATTAACCAATCCATTATCCTCCACTTAGAGACAAACAACCTACTCTCTGATAAACAATTTGGTTTCAGAAAAAAACTATCATGTAATCTGCAACTCTTACACTGCAAAAACGTATGAACTACACAACTTGATCAGGGCAAAGCAATTGACGCAATTTACATAGACTTCCGTAAAGCCTTTGATTCAGTGGTACACGACAAACTACTCCTAAAATTAAAATCTTATGGTATCTCTGGACACCTGCTTAACTGGATAGAAGCATTCCTGTCAAACAGGCAACAAATGGTCAAAATTGGGAGCGTCCTATCAAATTCTGTACCTGTCAATAGTGGTGTCCCCCATGGCAGTGTTCTAGGGCCAACTCTCTTCATACTCTACATAAATGACCTCTGTGATCATATTAAGAGCAACTGTGTTCTTTTCGCTGATGATGTAAAGCTATTCAACACCACAGACAATACTGCTACCCTTCAAAAATACCTCGACTATGTGTCAGTATGGTCAAACAAATGGCAACTTCAAATCTCAACAAATAAATGCTCTGTCTTACATATTGACAAAAGAAAATCAGAAAATAAAATACAAGCTGAATAGTCAAGACCTTGCTGATGACTCAAACTTTGTCAAGGACCTTGGAGTACTCATCTCAAATGATCTAAGTGCTAGACCCCACTGTAACTACATAGGAAAAAAGGCATTAAGAGTTGTAAACCTAATCCTGCATACTTTTTCTCCAGTAATATCACTCTACTAACTAGAGCATACAAAACATTTGCTAGACCAATGCTTGAATACAGCTCATCAGTCTGGAACCCGCATTACGTATCTGATATTGATACAATTGAGAAAGTCCAGAAATATTTCACAAGAAGAGTTCTCCACTCCTCTACTCGTAGCAGAATACCTTATGCCACCAGATTTGAAATTTTAGACCTAGACAACTTAGAACTAAGCCGCCTTCAGTTCGATCTAAGTATAGTACATAAAATTATATATTGCAATGTCCTACCTGTCAATGAATACTTCAGCTTCAACCACAACAATACAAGAGCACACAATAGATACAAACTCAAGGTAAACCGCACCAAACTTAATTGCAGGAAATACGACTTCAGCAACAGAGTGGTCAATGTCTGGAATACTCTACCTGACTCTGTGGTTTCTTCCCCAGATCCCAAAAACTTTAACCTTAGACTGTCTACTATTGACCTCACCCCTTTCCTAAGAGGTCTGTAGGAGGTATGCATAAGCGCACCAACATGCTTACCGTCTCTGTCTTATTTTTCTTTTTTTTCTTATTTGTATCCATTTCATGTATTCATAACCATGTTTATACCTATACCTGTTATCTAATAATTGCTTGACAAAATAAAATAAATAAAATAAAGATTTCCTTAGAAACCAAGGGTTTGAGCAGGGAGGAAGAATCTCTTGACTGTAATTACTCCAACAAGCAAAGCAATTAATGCTATTGTAAAATCCCAAGAATAAATCACATAAATAAGGAATAATTGAATGCAATTCTTATTGCATTCTGTTTTAGTTCAGGATATTTTGTGATGCTTGTATTCTTCCCTTTTGTTAATGAAAATCGGAGCTCCTAATGAGAAAGCTTCCCAGGTGTTGCCTTTCCCAAGCCTGTTTAAGAAAACTAAATCAAACATTTCAATTTAACATGTCCATGTGGCAATTGGAGGATGAGAAAAGTGGCAGGAACCACATAGATATAAAATCACCAAGATTTTTAATGTACAAATAAAAAGTCTTTAAAAATCATTCACACTAAAAAAAAAATAAAAAAAAATATATCTAGGGGTTTATACATGTCACTAAAAAATCAAGATGGCAGCCACAATGATGCAGTGAAAACCTTCTCTCTAATGGGCATTAAAAATAAAGCAGGACTTCAATTTGCAACTTGAAGATAGAAAAAAATTGTAGGTTGGCCAGGCAACGTCATTTTTTTAAAGATTGGGTACTATAAAGCTTGACAATTTGGATAATTTGATAATTTTTATTTTCTGTTTTTACTATTGAATTATACCTAGGTTTAACCACAGAACAAATGGAAAGCTGTGTACAAACAGAGACACAGAATTATGTTTTCTTCTTTAAGTCAACTGAACATCATGGGTACTGCAGCCGAAATAAGCTTACAGAACGCCATGAAGGTAAACAATATTTTCAATCCCTCAACTGATCAATCAATCAATTCACTATGGGTTCTAGAAGTTTAGGGCACTTATTTTATCCCTTAAAACATACAATGTATCCACAGACAAATACACATACACACACAAAACATTATATTGTCTATATTAGGGGTGTCAAACTCAATTTCACTGAGGGCCACATCAGGGCTGTGGTTGACCTCGGGGGGCCAGGTGGACATGGGTGGGCGTGGCCAGCTTGATGCCACTCCCCGAACTGCTGGCATGTTTCCTCTCAGCATTGGGTAGACTGGGCCGAAGCCATGTGGGCCATCCCTTTACATTTTCCAAGATGGCCCTGTGGGCCAGATCTGCCCACATTGTGGGCTGGATTTGGCCCACAGGCCTTGTGTTTGAAACCCCTCATCTATATCTTCTCATTCCCAGACTTTAGTGGCTTCTAATAAAGATCCATTATCCAATGTAAGCAACCAGAACCACTCCGTCAATAGTCTCAAATAGATCCTTTATTGCTGACCACCTATATTACAAGAAACTTGCAAGGTTGCCTCTCCTTGGGAAATGGTAGATACAGACCTCAGGTGTTTGTCCTACTCCTCCCCTGGATCAACTGCAACTTGGAATATCTCCCTCTCCCTCCCTCTCCTTCAGCCAGTGAATCCCCCACCTCCATGCAGTTAAATATATAACTCTACTGTGTAACTCATCTGTTTTAGGTTCCATGTTGAAGTCATCTGAACGGTCCATTTCCCTGGTTAAGGGTGGGCAGGCACGGTATGCTGCAGCTTTAGCCTGGGAGAGAAAAGGCTCTTTGCCAGGACACGAGATCTTTAATGACTGGCTGGAATCAGCCAAAAACAATCCAAGTGTGATTGATTTTGAGGTAAATGACAAAATGCAAGAGGAAAACAGAATGTCTTACTACGAGGGCCAAAGCTCCCATGTACGGAAGAAGAAGAAAAAGAGGACATTGCATATTTTGAATGGATGCTACACTACTTAAAACAGTCAGATTAATGGTGGTATGTTACTGGTTCAGCCCAGTTCAACTGAACTGGTAGTAAAAATCACTACCAGTTCTACCAAAATGGTAGTAAAAAAAAGAAAAGCCAACGATCAGCTGAGAGGAGGGGAAAAAAAGCCTCCAACAATCAGCTGAGAGGATAAAAGTGCATGGGAAGGTGGGAGGATTGCTCCTAGCTTTTCGTTTCTTCATCCTCTCAGCTGATTGGCTTGTTAGGGGTGCGCATGTTAGTGGCGTGGCACAGGCAGGCACGTGCGATCACTCACAGAACCGGTAGTGATTAAGGAAGGATCCCACTATTGGGTCAGATCTTGTGATATTCTCTTTTATTTTATTTGACAAATGGTATGCTTCTCCTGATGTTATGCTTTTGAGCCTGCAAAAGGCAACATCAAAGAGCCATGGGGGCACAGTGGTTAAACTGCAGTACTGCAGGCTACTTCTGCTGACTGCTGGCTGTCTGCAATTTGGCAGTTCGAATCTCACCAGGTTCAAGGTTGACTCAGCCTTCCATCCTTCTGAGGTCGGTAAAATGAGGATCCAGATTGTTGGGGGCAACATGCTGACTCTGTAAACCTCTTAGAGAGGGCTGTAAAGCACTGTGAAGCAGTATATAAGTCTAAGTGCTATTGCTATTGCTATTATTCCCAGATAGAAGGCCGAAACTGATGGGGTTTTTTTGGATTTAAGAAATCTTCTGGGACAACTTTTGAAAAATTGAATATAATTCTTTCTTAGGTTTCCCCGATTGTGGATTTGGTGAAGAATTTCCCATGCTCTGCCACAAAACGTTTTAATCTCAGGAAGGCCTTTTCTGAATATATGAGCAAATATGACCCCTGTCACTGTGCCCCATGCCCCAATAATGCTCAACCAGTTTTATCAGAAACTGGATGCCTCTGTGTATGTAAGTCTGGAACATATGGAAGCAACTGTGAGCTGAGAGCACCTGACTACAAATCAGGTATTTTTTACGACAACTCCATCTTATAATTGCCCATGAAGATAGCAAGGTTTGCACAAAAATGATGATTTCTTCAATTGAAGTTTCAGTTTTTGCTAACTATAAATAAGGTAGCTAAAAGAGCTGGAAAGTCAAATTTAATTTTGGGCGAAAACTGAAGTTAGCAAAACCATTCTCTACCCTACTCTTGTCAAAGTAAAATATGGGCAAAATATTATGGTATATGTTATTATGTATCATAAAATGTTATTTTACCTTACATAGCAGTTTTACATCTTTGAGAAAAGGCATATGAATTCATTTTCATGCTCAAAAGACATGACAGATGTAACTGATGGGTGGACAATTTTTAAAGGATTAGGTTCAACTTTGCAATGAATTTCTAGTGGCTTGATAACATAACCTTAGAGACTTTTGTTCTCTCTTTCTCTTTCTCTCTTTCTGTCTCTCCTCTCTCATCACTGGAGATAACATAGCTGTTTTTGTTATATTATGAAGTCAAAAACACATTCCAGAAAAAGGCAATTGGAAACAATTTATTTACTGTTGTAAAGAAAACAACATGAGGACATACATGAGTATTTGAGAGTCAATTGTCTTTACTTTAGTAACTTGCCTAACCTGTTTGTATAGAAAATGTTTTAAGACAACTAAGCACTGCCATGAGTTATAGAACATACACTTTCTCCATCTTTTTCTTTCTCAAATTGGGGAAAATATTTAAAAATATAATAGGAAATAAATTCAAATTTAAATAAATAAATTCATTTCATAGAAAACTAAAAAAAAAGTCAGAACAGAATGCTGCACAAAATTTAAAAGTCAATGTAAAAATTACATTTTTAAAAACTAATCAGCAACTCAGACACACAGTATAGTAGTAAAGTTAAAAGTAGATGGAATGCATTTGAAATTTTTTTTAAAAAAACATATTCTTTTCAATGATGCACATTAACACCACTCTGACTACTGTGTTGGAATTCCATCACATTGCACACTGTAAGTATTGCAGTCCAAATTACTGATGCAGGCTAGGTGGTAGTAGCAGTTGAGATTCAAGAAACTGGGGACATCAAAATGGGGAAAGCTGAAATATGGGTAGACTCTTTTGCTCATATCAAGACTCTACGGCTAAGGCTACAAAAGGATTGTGTTGTTTTGCACTCCAGTTGCAGTAGACGGCTACTGGAGTTGCTGGTCAGCATGGAGTGCTTGTGATGCATCTTTTAAGAGGCAAAGAACTCGGCTGTGCAACAATCCTGAACCCATGAATGGAGGAAAACCTTGTAATGGTGACGCTGAAGATGAGGAATTGTGTTTTATCCCATTATTTAAAAGCCAGTAAGACATGTACCATTATAAAATACCAGGCGTATTCTCAGCAAGATTTTGTTAATAACAGAATGTGTATCTTGATACCACATGCAAGTTTCCCCCATTCTGATGCATGTTTTAACCTTTGTCCACTATTGCTCTCCCTTTTGGATGTTCATAGCCAATGATCTCAGGACCGAACTGTGTATTAAGAAAGGATTGGAAGAAATATGTGGCCCTCCATATGTCTTTGTGAGATAAGGAGGTCCAAGAGCTTATAACATAGAAAGTGAATCTTTAAAAGAGCATAAAGGATATAAAGCAGGGGTGGGATTCTACCAGTTCGCACCTATTCACTAGAACCAGTTGTTAACATTCTACCCTGTTTCTCCAACAATACGGCCTCCCCCAATAGGAAGTCCCAGCATGTTTTATAGGCATGAAATAAAATTAAGCCCCTCCCCCCAAATTAAGGCCTATATTAAAACATGCGAAATGGGGGGAATGGTGGTGGGGGCTTGCCATTAGGAAATACTTTTGTTGTACACCCGGATATGGTGCTGCCTGCATTGACCCTGATACGAAGTGCCCCACCTACGCCGAGGTCAACATCCAAGCCATCGCTGCCCACCCGAAGATGCAAGGGGGGGAAGAATTAAGTCACCCCTGAAAAGATGGCCTAGCCATTTTTTCGGGGCTCAAAAAAAAAATAAGACCCGGCCTTATTATATGAGAAACACGGTAAGCAGTTCGGAGAACCGGTTGTTAGAAGAAATGACTGGCCTAATCCTGTAAGGAAGGCAGGAAGGAAACATTCTGGTGTTGCTTACAGAAACTGCCTCTCCGTTAACCCTTATTACATTCTTGGCAGGACTAGACTTCCTGTCTCAGGAACGTCTCTGGAGGTTTTTTTCCCTCCTTTGCTGGTACTTTGCTTGTGTGGAGTGACCATTCAAAGTTACAATGGCACTGAAAAAAGTGACATGACCATTTTTCACACTTACGACTATTGCAGCATCCCCACAGCCACGAGAGGCCAGGTGAGGAGATGCGTGCCTCGATGTGAGTGATGTTGAGTTGGCCAAGCCCAGTCAGTCACATGACCACCAAGCCATGCCCACCAACTAAGCCACGCCCACAGAACCGGTTGTTAAAAAAATTGAATCCCACCCCTGATATAAAGTATGATAGTACCCATTAACATCTGAAAAACTGATTGCTAAAGAAAGATAAATGTCCCCTTTCAGATCCTTCATGTGGATGCAGCCCAAGGAATTTTGATCCCAGTATTTTAAAATTAAGGAAGACATTTTCCAAGAAGCCTCTAAATTTGAAAGAAATAGACAGAGCAAATCAGAAAGTTATCAACATCCCTCCTAGATGTTGGGACACTGCCACATGTAAAATGAATGTAACAGAATTGGATATTTGTCTTTGGCCTATCAGATTGTTTGCAATCCACTGATTATCTATGACTTTTTGCTTCATGTGTATCTTTTTACTGAAGTCCTAACTGGACAATGTTTCAATTACAGGGGTGCTACTTGTGTAAACGATGATGACTATACTGAAGAAGGCCGGATAAAACCTAAATGTGACACAGGATGTTTCACTCCAGAAGCACCAGAAAATGGATTGATCAGGGTTAGCAGCATTTAATGGATTAGAAAAGACTGACACACTTATCTAAGTGGATCCCAATCTTTCACCAAATAGCACTAATGCTAAAGTGGCTTTTTAGGCTCTTGAGATGAGGTACTCCTGGCAATGAATTTGTGAGATGCTATCACAATTCTATCCTTTACATGTCAGAATTCTCAGAGAGGAATTTGAGGAGTCAAATTTCTGGAGTGTGCTAAAATTTATGGAGTGGAAAAGATGGGTATAACTAGTCATACTTCTGTTCCAGAGATAAATCTCTAACATTTACATTAAGGAATTGATCGACAGGTCTGAGAAATGAATTCAGTAAATAGATGGATTTACATCTTGATTAATGCCATATACTTACAAGACCACTTGAAAAAGTTTCACATTATTAATATGAAGGGGAGCAACTAGTGTTGCCATTCAAAATTGAATTTAAAATGAGATTATTTCAAAATATCTCAAAGTCCGTAGCGATTCTCAGTCATCCAGGTCATGGTTATCCCAAAGGTGCTTTTTCAGGAGGCAACTGGACTTTCTTGTTTTTTTCTTTGATGATATTTCACTTCTCATCCAAGAAGCTTCTTCAGCTCTGACTGGATGGTGGGGAATGGAAGGATTTAAATTCATGCAGACAGCTGGTAATTTGCATCCTTTTTGAGGGTCTTTGAAGCACTTGGAGGTTTTAGCTGTGTCCTCATGGTCACCTGAGTAGTGTTCCTGGTTCCTGTAGTCTGCAGTTTTTTTCCCTCTGGAAATCCATTCCTACTCCCACACCATTCAAAGGGTGTTCATCTCAAATTGCATAGCTAAAAGTCTGTAGTGATTCTCAGTCATCCAGGTCATGACTGTCCCAAAGGTGCTTTTTCAGGAAGCAATGGACTTTTTTTTTTTCTTTGAAGACATTTCAATTCAAAATATCTCCTGTTAAAGATATAAAATAAGTTTGCCTCAAACTCCACTGGGAACAAATGTGAGTGCACCATTCCCATTGGACTTTTCAACAATGCAAAGTCTGATCTTCCATTGGTTTTAAAGAAAATTTGTCTTAAAAATAGAACCTAATATAAATCTGGGCAGGAGTTTTAGTAATTCATACTTACATTTTGAACATTTTTAATCAATCTTAAGCTGCCCATTACATCCCTCACCTCTTGGCACACTCATAAAGTTATCAGTTTTGATATGCTGCATATTAACTTTTCCCTTAACACCAGGAGTATTTTTAAAAACCTACTGCCATTATTCTAAACTGCTTTTCTTTTTTTCTTTTTTGAAGGCCATTCTCTTTAGCCATACCCTCTTTTGTTGTTTATTTTATAACTACTTTAATTCCTGATACTTTTGTTGCTACCATGAGAACTTAAATTACTGTAGATCTCAGTACTGCTTTCAAAGTCTAAAACTTATAAGTCATGAAATAAATATTCCACTTATTGCACTAAACTTTTACTTCATAGAATGAAAAACCGTGCTATGACGTTGGAGAACAAGCAGAAGTGCTTTGCTTCAGTGGCTATTTTCGCTCAGGATATCCATTTCTTCGCTGCCTTGCAGACAAAACATGGGCACAACAGAACGTTGAGTGTCAATGTAAGAAACAGAATACATTGGATAAAAAGGAAATAAATCAAATGCCTTATGATTAATAATATATTCCTTCAAGGGAGAAAGGAGAAAACATGTTTGGATCTTTAAATTCAGTAAGGTTGGATGGATTTCTGAGTAAAGGGCCACTTTTTTCCACAACTTTACTCTAACCATAGCTAAATATTGATACAGTTCTCAGTTTCAATTGCCCAATCCAAATGGCTTGATAGTGTTGTCTTTATCAGCATGCAGTGCAAACTAAAATGCTTTGTCCAGTTAAGCATTAACCATTTTAATGTGCAAATATCTTCATTTTCTTTGAGAGGAACATTAATACTTGGTATGCCCCAATAGAAAGATAGAAAAAAGTTGTATTTTACTCCAAAGAGAAGATGACATGTATCAGTCCAGTTTTACTCCTGGTAATCAGAGGTGGTATTCAGCAGGTTCTGACCAGTTCTGGAGAACCGGTAGCGGAAAATTTGAGTAGTTCGGAGCACCGGCAAATACCACCTCCAACTGGAGATTTTATAGTATCCTTCCCCTTCCACACCCACCAAGCCACCCTCACAGAACCGGTAGTAAAAAAAATTGAATCACACCACTGCTGGTAATCCTATTGTTGCTTAGGAAACAACTACATGTTACCCCTTAGAATAAACTAACTTGCAGTGGCCAAGATACCTTTCAGAAAGACTTTGGTTCAGATTCCTACTCATGAATTGAAATTACTTAATTCTAATCACTCATATAACATTGTATGAAAAATATGCAGGTTTGAGCTGCTTAGGGAAAAGTTAACAATATGTAATTCTTATAAGAAAGATGGGATTAAATATAATTAATAATTTTATTACCATAATTGTTTGTAATCTCATGTTTCCTGTAAGCTGAAGAAAAATAGAAAGAATTCATATGCTGGTAACTATTCATATTTCATCAGGGAAGGGGAGTAATATAGATTTAAATAAATCTCTGTTTTCTCTCAGCATCCAGAAAAAGCAAAATCAAGCTTCTGGCTATTTTGCAGTTAGGGAAAGATGGTGCTAAAGCATCAGTGTTTCTCAACCTTGGCAGTTTTAAAATGTGTGGACTTCAACTCCCAGAATTCCTCAGTGGGGTTCAGCTGACATGTTCAGGGTGTCAGGATTCCAGCAATCACCCTAAGTAAATCATGATTCTGGAGCCAAACTTCAAAAAACTTCAAAGGATTTATTACAGGCAATGTGACCCATATTTTTAGAAGAAAGAAAAGTAATATGTGACTATTAAGGACAGTTGCTATTTAAAATCTCTTTAATTTCTCTAAATATTTTTGTTTTGTTTTGTTTTAGACCATATTTGAGTGCTTTTTAGATCTTTACCCTAATATAAAGAGATTTTTAAAATTCTAGTTTTATTCTGATGCTTGATTTATATCCTTATATATTAAATATATAGAGACTTACAAACTTGAGTATATGTATATTGCCTGATCATGTTTTGTTACTTATAAAAATATGTACACCGTAACATTTTTTTCTTAAACTCCAGGGTTGGCTTGTGACAAACCACCAGTTTCAGATGCTGTCCATCTGACCCCATTTAAAATTCAGTACGATGTTGGGGACAAGGTCCACCTGAGCTGTCCTAGAGGGTACAGTCTTACAGGCCCAGGGACTTTCATATGTGGGGACCAAATGTCCTGGATCCCTGCTGTTCTGAACTCACTTGATTGCAGGAAAAGTATGTTTCATGTTTGCTGAAAATTATTCATTAGTGTTATTTTTCTTTTTTGCTTGCTATTCTGTGCTGAAATTTTAGTGATGGGAATATTTGTACATCAAGAAAGATAGAATATACTTTGGGAATTACTAATAAACCTACAATGTGGTGTAAATCTGAAATGATACCTTACTTAGTCCATCTAAATAGAACAGTGATAAGTGTGGAAAATTGTGCAAAAGGAGTGTGAATTCAGCCTTGCTATTGAAAGCCTGATTTGAAGCATGTTCTCAGAAGTGCTTTGTCCTTTAATAGCACTTAGACTTATATACCACTTTATAGTGCTTTACAGCCCTCTCTAAGCAGCTTACAGAGTCAGCATATTGCTCCCAACAATCTGGGTCCTCATTTTACCCACCTCAGAAGGATGGAAGGCTGAGTCATCCTTGAGCCTGGTGGGATCTAAACAGCCGATAGTCAGCAGAAGTGGCCTGCAGTACAGCACTCTAACCACTGAGCCACAGAGGCTCTTTTTAATGCTGCTAAATGCATTCCCAATTCTTTATTTTGCAGCTGATTCCAGAGACTGGATCTTATCTTCTAATAAAAAAAATTAAATTGACCTTGGAAATCTAAAATATGCCTATTGTTGGTCCAAATTAAGAATACAAACATTGGGAAACAGTAACCTGAATGCAGACTGCCATCCGACAGCCTATTCTACTATCTGTAGGGAATTAAGGATTTTTATTGGGAATATGATCTTTTTTTACATAAATTTGAGCAGGTGGATGCAGAAGGATTCTTGGTGAGATGAACATTAACCATCAGCAATGTTTAGTTGGTATTTAATTTTTTTCAAAATGAACAAAATGATTTCAAGAATTCTTCCAAACCTTCAAAAGATCTGGCATGGCTACAGCAGCACTGCATTCTTTGTAGATAAGTTTTTTTTCTGACACTTTTTGGAATGAATGACATTCAGTCTAAAATAATGGAAGAGGAAATATCTCTCTGCAAAAGAGAACCCAGGCTTATTGTAAGCATGGCAAGATTTTAGAAGGTTAAACAAGATTTGAAGAGATTCCTTGGCTGCCTCATAGTAAGTCCTATGCCAATTTATTCCAAGTGATCCAGAACATGTTACCTTAAGCAAAATATCCCCAAAAAGTGACAAAGCTGTGTTGATAAGAAAATGAAGCAAAGTTGTGACCCCTACACAATCTGATGAACAGTTCTTAGAAAATAAATAGTGGTAGTCTAACAAACTTCTAGGTCTAGATGAAGAGTAGAGTGAAGCCGATTTCTGAAGAGTGTACAATTCTAGCCATCCATGTCCAGTTAAGGTGTGTCTTGGGTTGTGTCTTGAATATGAATGTTCAAAGCATCATAGTTGTTTCTTGACTGAACATGATCCCACTTGAAATATCTAAATCTTACTTCTTTTTCAGATTATACTAGGAAATTAAAACTCACAACCTGCTTGTCAGCTCATTTGAAATCTGACTCTTTCCCTCTTTCTTTTAATTCCTTCTTTAGGTGAGCCACTTCAGGTCAAAGATAATTGCAGTCTTGGGAAAAAAGAGGTGGATTCTCATTGTGTCTGCATATCCCCGGAAGAGGACTGCAAGTAAGTATAGGTGTCAACTCATAAAACATTCCTATGCCTGTTTTAGTAGTTGCCATTAAAAATAAGGGGGGCGGGAGGAAGGAAACCCTGGAAGAGCAGTGCAGCAGTTTGAAAGCAAAAGTACGTTCCAACTCTTATCTTTAAAAGATTGTAACTAAAATACCAGAGCTTTTGCCCCTGAATAGATTTAATTGGAGAACGTGAATGATGACACCCAGTCTGTGAATGTGCTCAATTGGAGAATCATGATTTAATTAGAGCGATTGCTGGAATCCTGACAGAAGCCAACTCTGACATACACCTGTGACCCTCTTTCCCCCCTCCTCCCTGGGTTTCTCATTAACCAGATTCTCCAATTTCAGAACCGTGGTTAGGTTGATCAGGCACCTAGTGCAGCCTGAATCTATTAGGGCTTGACAATACATGTGAAATATTGTATATCAATCAGATTTCAGATTTTATAATCTGCATATATTTTTGTATATTTTTATAATCTGCCTATATTTTTGCTTTCTTATTTTTTGCTGGCAGATGATTTTTCTTCAGCAGGGAAAGCATCCTGTTTTTTGTAGATACAAGTGGAGAACAAGATTAGAAAATTTATTAGGTCTCTGGGGACCATATATCTATAGCTGGTGGCCCATACTCATTAGGCTACCATTTGTGCTGAACTTCATCAGTTACAGCTGAACTAAATAATTTGGCTCAGTGACTTCTGAAAAGTTGGCAAAGGTAAGGTGAAATTCAATACCTCCTGAATACCAATAATAAAATGGAGGAGCTACATCAGGATGTCAACTTGTTCCAAGAATCATTATGTCCCAGTGAATGTATTTGGGTTGTTGAAAAGAGATAAGCTATCATATTGAAACATTTGCAAGGCTTTCAAAGTCAGGACTGAAAGCTATTTTGCAAATTTTCAACTCACCTGCACTCTGCAAATCTCTAAGCTACTAAATGTTTTGCAGAATTTCAGAACAAAATCTCGAAAGGAAAAACTTAATATAGATATATTTTAACCTAGAAAGTATTACACAGTATACACAAACAAAACAAAAACTCCATCTGAGTGCATTTCCAAAACTGAGATTACTAGTACTCTTTTTGATAAAATTCAAAATACTGTTCTGTGGCATGATTTTCTCCTGGTGGTAATTGTGGTCCCTGGCCTTTGTACAGATGGCTTTTAAAATTGCTCATAAATTATGGCCTTGTTAATATCTGGCTGATTCTCAGGAGAGAAGAATTATGAAAACTACTTAAGCACATTCTAAAGAAATGAAATCAGCTGGTTCACAGGAACATTATTACTGTTATAAATCAAGCAAGCTAAAACATTAATTTGATTATAATACTCTCAGGTTCAAAAACATATTGTAGTTCAAACAATTTATGTTTTTTGCATCCTTAAAACACAGTGGTTGCTTGTGAAGAGAGATGAATGGTCCTATAAAAGTTAACTATTGTCCCAATGTTCCAAGGGGCTACCTACTTTGATATAGAGTTTTATAGCCTTGCCAATTGAGATAATAGACTGGGTAAAATGCTAATTTCTTTTTAATGAGCCAGTTAATGGTGTCAAAATCAACATCAGAGACACTGTAGAGGAGAGACAAATTAAAGCTTGGTGATTGTACAGGCTTCATTCTGCAATATGCTAAACTCTTGAATATTTTAGATCATTGATACATTGGCCAATAAAATATTTGAATATTGACTACTCAGGCAGTGAATTATATTACAGAGGTACGGAATCTTATTGTCTCCAAACATATTATTTATATTTCCTGGCTTTCCAGCACTGGCTCAGAAGGTATCTGTGTATTGGATGTACAATCTGAAGAAGCTGTTACAAATCCTAGCTGTCATTTTCTGGCCGAAAAGTGCAGGAATGATGAACAAGTCCATTTTATCCATAATGGACCTTGCAGTGATGACACCAGGTTGACCTGGGCTATTGAGAGAGCAAATCTTTCAGCAAATGCAAGAAAGAAAGATCTGTGTGGATATGATGTATGCTATGACTGGGAAAGATGCTCAGGTATGTCCCTTGAACATTTCAATCTTTGATTTGTAAGGTTGATTTTATTTTTTTTAAAAAAGTTAATGCATAAACATTTGTACATAATTCTGGTTATGGAGATATATAAATATTGCATGTTACTATTTTTTAATTTTATTTTATTTTTTATTTTTATGTGGAATTAAGTTTCAGTTAATCAAATACTCATTGTTCACATAAGTCAACTTCTGTGATTAGAATTAGAATTAGAATTCTTTATTGGCCAAGTGTGATTGGACACACAAGGAATTTGTCTTGGTGCAAATGCTCTCAGTATACATAAAAGAAAAGATACATTCATCAAGAGTCAAGAATCGGAAGGTACAACACGTAATAATAGTCATAGGGTACAATAAGCAATCAAATCATACTAGGAAACAGTCAATATAGATCGTAAGGATACAAGCGACAAAGTTACAGTCAAAGTTAAAGTCCCAAGTGGGAGGGTGTGGTGATAAGGAGTGATGAGAAGATTAATAATAATAGTAGTGCAGACTTTGTAAATAGTTGGACAGTGTTGAAGGAATTATTTGTTTAGCAGAGTGATGGCATTTGGGAAAAACCTGTCCTTGTATCTAGTTGTTCTGGTGTGCAGTGCTCTATAACATCGTTTTGAAGGAAGGAGTTGAAACAGTTTATGTCCAGGATGTGAGGGGTCTGTAAATATTTTCACAGCCCTTTTTTTGACTCATGCAGTATACTCAGCCCTTTTTTTGACTCATGCAGGTTGGTATTATTATTTTTCTGCAGTCCTAATTATCCTCTGAAGTCTGTGTCTGTCCTGTTGGGTTGCAGAACCAAACCAGACAGTTATAGAGGTGCAGATGATAGACTCAATAATTCCTCTGTAGAACTGTATCAGCAGCTCCTTGGGCAGTTTGAGCTTTCTGAGTTGGCGCAGAAAGAACATTCTCTGTTGTGCTTTTTTGATGATGTTTTTGATGTTAGGTGTCCATTTTAGGTCATGTAATATAATAGAACCTAGAAATTTGAAGTTCTCTACTGTCGATACAACAGGATGTCCCCTGCTTCTTCTTCCTCCTATCTACTTTGCTCCTCCTCTTCTCTCCATGTCTACTCTGGGAAGAGACATCCTATAGTATGACTTCGCAAGCTCTGGACCAGATAAAGGGCCACTTAAAAGCTTCAGAGAAAGGGAGAATTTTACAAGTACCAGCCTTCCTATGGAGAAAAAGTCTAGAACAGATATAGAACAAGTGTACAGTATGTACTCCACAATCTTTACAATGCATAATTTGTCCTCATATGGTAGCCTCTGGGAAGCGTGCAATGCCCACTTGCAGATCTCAGAAGCTGCAATCTACAGCTTCTGAAATGTTTTTGAGGTATGGCGGGGTGTGCCTTGGTCTTGTACCTTGTTTCTTCCTTTCTCCTAGTGAATTGACAAAATATTACAACAATGTTCTGAATAAGGTATCACTTTTAGGTTGTCTTTGTTGGGACTTGTATTAATGCATCATAGTAGGGTCAAAAAAAAAATCCTGAAATTGATGAGATGATGAATGAGAGAAAGCTTGGTTTTTCTATGTAATGATGCAGTTGACACGCCTATTTTTGAAAAATACACTCCTGAGTATTGCTGTAAGACAATACAGGTCTAGAATAAGGAGTACTTTGATGACTTATTTAGGATTTTGGTGGTCACATGACATTTGCTGAAGACCATTGACTGCAGTCCTCTATATATTTATGGCAGAATCAACACACATTAACTCCAAAAAGCTTTAGTGACAAGAAGGAAAAATGGGTGGAATTATGTTGCTATCCTCCAAGACTTCTTAAATGTATAGTAACTAACAATCCCTTTAAATGCATCCTTTATTTATTTAGCTATGTTTAGAGAAGAATTTAAAAAATGTGCGGTTGCGAAATATTCCTGAAAATGATGCCCAGATCACTGTTTGTTATGCAACTTGTTTTTCACTGTGTGGTATGATGATAGTAATTGTGAGCTTTCCTGTAAATTGCCTTGGCAGAGATTCACAAAAAGAAAAAAAGCTTTGGCTTGTCTGGTTAAAGTTAAAATTTCCATCTCCTTTGCTCTTGCTTAAAACCTCACTATTTAGAAGCAGAATCAATTTTATATCTGCTCCCAAAGAACAGTTGGAAGGGTTGTTTCTCATTATATTGAGACAGGGAAACAAAGAAATTGCAACTTTAAGCCTTAAAACATCTAGTAAGAAGGTGTAGATGAAGTTGTTGTTGATGAAATAAAATTGAAACTCCCCAGTTCTATCACATCTTCATCACTTTGAACAGAAACATATACACACTGAAAATTCAAATGTTATCTAAGTTATATGATATAGCCTTGCCTACTCATTATCCATCCTCTGAGGACTCTTTTTGCCACCCCTGAAAAATTGAATGTAGATCTTAGCTACAAAACCTTATTGCAGTTAGGCAGAAAAACCGCAAACCCTGAGCAACTTTTATTACAAGGGTAGTTTTATAAAACTTAGGAAGTTGTTGTTATGGATCAAGAATCAATTCTTGTAAGATTTATTTCAGCTTTATGATGCTTACTGAAAAATAGGTCTTGTGCAGCATTTAGATATAGGTGCATACCAAGTGAAAACACACACACATATACATATGCACACACACAACACTAAAGTACAGGTAGTCCTCAATGTATGACCATAATTTAACCCAACTTTTCTGTTGCTAAGTGAGACAGAGGTTAAGTGAATTTTGCCCCATTTTATGACATTTCTTGCCACAGTTGTTTAGTAAATCACTGTAGTTGTTAAGTGAGTAACATGGTTGTTAAAGGAATCTGGTGTCAGGAGTCCAACAAATCCACCCCCATTCAAATCATAAATCTCTAGCCACCTCTCAGAGGAAAGAAAAATGATTTATTAGAAGTGGCCATGTTGGTGTTAGCTGGATGCAGCCGATACTAAAATACATCATTCATTTCCCCCTTGACCCTGGTCTTCCCCCCACCCCCTGGATGTGACTTCTCCAATGGAACACATCCATCCCCAAGAGTCATCAACCATGCTCTCCAGTAACATTCTTGCGCTCCGACAACTTTGGGCTGCCAGGGTGATTATCTAGGCACTTAAGGAATGCATTGTTTTCCCCCACTCCCTTTGTCTGGCAGCTAAAAAGACCAAAGAAGTATCTTTTTAGTTGACATTTGGCTTCAAATTTACTTTGCTGGTCAGAAGGTCACAAAAGGGGATCACGTGATCCTGGGATACTGCAATCGTCACAAATATGAATCCGTTGCCAAGCATCCCAATTTTGATTGCATGATCAAGCAGATGCTGTAACAGTCGTAAATGTGAAAAATGGTCATAAATCCCTTTTTTCAGTGTTATTGCAATTTTGAATGGTCAATAGAAGAACTGTTGTAAGTTGAGGATTACCTGTAAAACTAAATGATGAGCTGATTGCACATTTGTATCTATTTACAGAAGAAAGATTGCATTGTACTTGCCTTCTTCCAAATCAGTGTCCAAAGAGTGAAGAACAGGTCTATTGCATTCAGTACGGGTCTAGAAACCAAAGGAGGACATCAACCCTCTGTGTACTGGGAGCCATGAAATGTGCCAATGTGAAGGCAATGCTGTTGCATCCTGGGAAATGTGTGCCATAAAAGGAGTGGCAAACAGATATCTGATGTACTCAATCCTATTTCGATCACAGTTCAAAACAAATTCATTGAATTAAAATGTTGATATAAGAACTGGATTTTTGTTTATATCATACTAATTGTTTCATTTGAAACTGCATGAATGAATGAATCTCAGCATTTTGAGAGTTTTGAGAACAAGTGGTTGGTACATTCATAATATAGCTATCATAAGAGGTTACTCAGGCACAGATAGTGTATAACGATGAGCATGGAGATCCCAAAAGATAAGCTCCAGAAGAAGATAGCCTTAAGATACAGAAGGATCTTGACAGACTTGAACATTGGACACTATCTAATAAAATGAAATTCAATGGTGAAAAAGTAAGGTTTACATTTAGGTAAGAAAAACAAAATGTACACGTAAAGTATATGTGGTACTTTGTTCAATAGTAATAATGGAGAGGTATCTTGGAGTCCTAGTGGACAATCATTTAAATATGAGCAGCAGTGTTGCAGCTGCCAAAAAAGCCAACACAGTTCTAGGGTGCATAGAGGGATAGAATCAAGATCACATGAAGTGTTAATACCACTTTATAATGCCTTGATAAGGCCACACTTGAAATACAGCATCCAGTTTGGGTTGTCACGATGTAAAATGATGTTGGGACTCTAGAAAGAGTGCAGAGAAGAGCAACAAAGATGATTAGGGCACTAGAGGCTAAAAACATATAGAGAATGCTGGGATTAGGTATATCTAGTTTGATGAAAAGAAGGACTGGGGTGACATGATAGCAGTGGTCTGATATCTCAGGGGATGTCATAAAGAAGAGGGAGTCAAGCTATTCTCCAAAGCACCTGAGGGCAGGACAAGAAGCAATGGGTGGAAACTAATCAAGGAGAGAAGCAACTTAGAACTAAGAAGAAATTTCCTGACAATTAGAACAATTAATCAGTGGAACAATTTGCCTCTGGAAGTTATAAAGTCAAATTTTCTCCCTGTGGACATACAGTATGCAGACTTTTATTATCATTCCTTTGCTTCTGCACATTTTATTTTCCTTTTGGAGAGAACTAACTTTTCTCCTGAATCTTTTCCTCCCCTCTGTATTTCTGGAGTAATTCTGTTTCTAGTGAATTTCACAAACCAATTTCCAGTGAACCAGATCTTATTCTCGATTAGTCACTTTCAATCTGTTTCTTAACAACTTCACACACCCACACCCACACCCACACACCCACACCCTTCCTCGGCTTGGTTTCCCTTCCTTGTAAGAGGAGTGTGGCAGCATTCCAGAAAAAAAAATGATTAGTACTGCACCCTTGGTTTATATTGGACCCTATTGTAAGAGAAGCTGTATTTGTCTTTTTAAAAAATCTGTGATTAAAAACAGCTAAAAGAAAAATTATTTGGGAGGAAAATTGTATAAGGATTGGTGAAAATGAACATCATCTGCTTTTGAGAGTGGATTAGTTAGTTCCCTAATGGAATATAACAGCCATATAGAATAGTAAATTCAGTAGAAAATAAAAACAAAGAATCTGCATTACTCAAGTTGAAGGCAGCTCTGTATTTTTGTTACTGTATAGGAAATGCAACAGTATTGGTATGAATCATTTTGAGCAAGGAATATCCAGCCCAAGTGTTTCATGTACAAAGCAAATGTATGAAATGCCTTCAAGAAAACAACCAAGCTCAGAGAGCACCAAAGATCCCACAAGTAAAAGTATTTTGGCTGGTTTGGTTCATTTCCAAAATGTGATTTCAGGTGCAAGTATTCCAAATATTCCATTCTATTTTAGGGATATTTAACCAAACCCAACTATCCTCCTGGCCCCATCCAAACTCCAAATAATAAACTCCCTCTCCTTATTTGCCCAGTTGACATTAAAGAGTCACATGATTTTACCACACAAAATCCTAATTCTCATCCTCTGAGCATTCTAACAGAGGGAATGTGATTGACTAGGGCGGGGGTCGGCAATGTGCCTCTTTAGAGCCACATGTGACTCTTTGGGCCCTCTCCTGTGGCTCCCTATCAGATGATCCCACCGCTGGCTGGCCCCGCCCCTCCCCCTCCCCCCCAGCCATTCATACCCAAGGTTTGTGGCTCCCGGTATTTTCTTTTCTCTCTCTTTCCTCTCTTTCTTTCTTCTTTCCCTCTCTCACATCTCTTTCGCTCTCTTTCCATCTCTGTCTCTCTTATCTCTCTCTTTTTCGCCCTCTCCCTCCCCTCTCTCTTTCTCCTTTTCTCCCTCTCTTTCTCTCTCTCTCACCTCTCTCTCACCCTCTCTCTGTCTGTCTCTTTTTCTTTTTCTCCCTCTCTCCTCTCTCTCTTTTTCTCCCTCTCCCTTTCATCTTTTTGTCTCTCATCTTTTTCTCTCTCCACCTTTCTCCCACTTCCCCCCCCCCCCCTTCTCTCTCTCTCTCTCTCCCCCACTCTCCTCTTTCTCACTCTCTCATCTCTCTTTCTCTCTCCTCTCCCTCTCTCTCTCTCTCTTCCCCCCACTCTCTCATCTCTTTTCTCTCACATCTCTCTCTTTCTCCCTCTTGCTGTCTCTTTCTCTCCCTCTCTCCCTCTCTCATCTCTCTCTTTCTCCCTTTCTCTCTCATCTCTCACTCTCTGTCTCTCTCTCTTTCTTCCTCGTTCTATCTCAATTCTCTTTCTCTCTGTGTCTCTCTCTGTCTCTGTCTCTTTCTGTCTCCCTCTGTCTTTCTCTCTTTTGTGTGTGTGTGTTCCCTCTTGAACCATTTCCAAAAACAGGTGACTGTTGGTTGTGGTTTTTTTTTTTTTTTTTTTTGCTGATGTTGTTCTTTTTTCTTCTTTGGGTGCTTTTCACCATATGATTTAAATGAAGAGTCATTTCAGGTTCCCAGAAAAATGAAGCTCTTTCGTCCCTCTGCTGTGGCTCACTGTCGGCTGAATCCACCACTGGATGGCCCAGTCCCTTGCCGTCCCCTCCCACTCACTCCTCACCTGCCCTGAGAAGGGAAGGGCAATGGCGGCAGATGGAGACTTGCTCCGTATTCCAGAGCAGGAGCTGGATAGGGAGTGAGTGATGTCTGTTGGCCATGCTGACCCATGTTTTGTGGCTCCCAGTGGTTTTTTTTTCTGTGGGAAAGGAGTCCAAATAGCTCTTTGAATGTTTAAGGTTGAAGACCCCTGCCTTAGCCCTAAGCCCAACCCTAACATTACTTTAATTTTGTGACTGGGATTTTCCCATGTAATATACTGTGCTCCCAAAAGAAGTCCGGACAAAAAGCTGTCACTCTTTGTGTGTTGTTCTCTTTGCTTATAAGACCACTAAGAATCTGTTCATATGGTTAGTTTTCTGGCTAGACCCCAAGAAGACCTAACCCTAAACCCAACCCTAACCCTAGTTTTCATATGAGAATGGGATTTTTCCCATGTAATTTACTGTGCACCCAATATAAATCCGAGCGAAAAGCCGTAACTTTCATTATAATAGCCTAATGAATCTGTCCATAAGGTTAATTTTCTGTCTAGATCCCAAGAAGACCTAACCCTAACCCTAGTTTAATTTTGTGGATGTGATTTTCTCATGTAATTTACTGTTCCCCCAAAATAAGTCTGACAAAAAAGCTATTACATTCTCTTTCCTTATAATACTTCCCATTCTCTTTGCTTCTAAGAATGTGTCTTAAACTAGGGTTAAAGTGGGGTTAGGGCAGGGGTGGGATTCAAATTTCTTAACAACCGGTTCTGTGGGCATGGCTGAATTTGTGGGTGTGCCTTGATGGTCATGTGACTGGGTAGGTGTGGCTTGCTTGTTGGGCGTGGCTTGGTGGTCACATGACTGGGTGAATGTGACCAACTCAATGTCACTCACGTCAAGGGGTGCCTCAACTAGCCCCTCCCCTCCCAGCCATTCCTTGTCATACCCAGTCTCAACTTATCTATAGTTGTGTAAAAATGTTGTTCACCTTTTTTTGACTTTATTATCTACATACTATAGATGTACTTTCATGGACCACTGAAAGGAGAAAATGGCTCACATGCTTTGCTCAAGAGTGGGACTTTTAAGGGGCTGCCAGAAAGAGGAGGGGGGGGGCAATATATTTTCCAAAGCACCAGAAGGCAAACAAGAAGCAATGGATGGAAACGGAACAAAGAGAGAAGCAAACTAAGACTAAGGAGAAACTTCCTGATAGTGAGAACAATTAACCAGTGGAACTGCTTGCCACTAGAAGTTCTGGATGCTCCAACACTGAAGGTTTTTAAGAAAAGACTGGACAGCCATTTCTCTGAAATGGTAGGATTCCCCACAAGGTCCCTTCTAAGTGTTATTCTGTTATTCTGACACCTTTCCCAGGACCTCTGCTCAGGGTTTGGCATCCTCAGTTTTCCTGCCTAAGCAGGGGGTTGGACTAGAAGACCTCCAAGGTCCCTTTCAACTCTGTTAAACACACATGTATTTATGCTATGGACTATAGACATGTAAACCCTGAAAAATACCTGGGCAAAAGAAAAGCAGTAAAATCACTCTAGGTGTAAAATATTAATATATAATAAATAATGGAAGACTTAAAATAATAGCACAGAGTTTTCTCTTTCTCCCCCCTTCCTTCCTATTTCTATTTTTTCTTTGTTCCTATTTCTTTTTTCTTTCTTTTTTTCTCTTTCTCTCACTTCCTTCCTTTTTTTCTCTTTCTTTCTCTTTCTTTCTCTCCCTTCCTCTTTCTTTCTTTCTTTCTTTCTTTCTTTCTTTCTTTCTTTCTTTCTTTCTTTCTTTCTTT